ATAAATTATACGCTTACTACCGATTAAATATAAGGACTAGGAATCGACGATTACTAACGATCCTTAAGTTAAAGGAGGCCTAGAGCTTATATCCTCGGTAATCGACGACGAAGAAGAAGAATGATTAGCCCCGAACGATAAGGCACGAATTATAGTAAAAATATTAAATAAAAAGCTTAAAGGATACGAAGTTATACCTAACGATAAACCCGGATTAAGAAGATCGACCCGACTTAATAAATAACCCTTTTACTATAATACGATAAGGCTATAGTATCTTAAAATAACCTACTTATACCGATCGAAAAGTAATAAAGCCTAAGAGCTTAATATATAATTACTTTCTTAAGTAGGGAAGGAAAGAAGTTATCCCTATATAATTATTAAACCGATAACCTATATACGAAATTAATAGCTTAAATTATAATATTAATAGATTCGCCCTTTCCTATTTCTTACCTTAAAAGAAAGTATATTTCCATAGATTATTAACGCCGATTAACGCGTTTTTATATTTAGATAAGTTATTCTTTACGTTTATCGTTAGGAATTCGGGATATTAATATCCTAGTATTACGTAATTATTATATTTTAATATAGGTATATTTTAATATTTAAAGGGAAAGTAAGGAAAGTAATTCATATTAATAAAAGTAAAAGAAAAAGGAAAGAAAAGGAATACGCATTTAAAAATAAGTTAGAAGTAACGTATACCCGCCGATTAGTACCTCTTTTTTCCTCTTTACCCTCTTACCTTATCCTTTACTTATTAGTTACTAAGAAAACTAAAAACTTACTTACTTTTCGATCCCCGGAACGTAGCGATTTTCGAGTTTATTATAGGTAGTAATTCTTCTTCCGTTACCCGTATTATAAGCGGGCATAAGGCCTAGCTTAGATCCTTTATTAAAGAGGGATTACGATCTATCCTTATCCGTAGGTAGGTAAACCGCTCGTTCCGGAATTTATAACGTATCCCGTTAATAAAGAAGAGGTAAACGCCGTAAGAGTACCTAAAGATACGATCGGAGGCTAGGGATCGGTAGGAAAAGAAGGGCTATATACCCGCGTATTTAGCGGTATCGGAAGAAGCGAACCGGCGCTCGTAATACTAGTAAGGTATTTCGTTAGATACCTTATATTATTAAACGAATAAACTAACGACGTAACGAAGGTCCGTCGCTAGTTAACGGAAATATTCGTTAACTAGCTTCTTATTATTAATCTTTATAAATAACGTCCGGCGGCGAGAGAATTAAACGTAACGAACGAGGGATATAATATAGCTTTAAAGGTAGGTAACCTCCTAAAAGTCCTTACTTATAATCTCCTATGCGATATACCGGCCGGCCGCCGGCCTACCTAGAAAATAGAACCGGACGTTACGAATTATCTTATTATTAGTTAATATAACCTTCGATTAATAGATCTTATTAATATTAAGAGCTATATACCTAGCGTTATTAGTTTATTATCCGAATTCCTTCGATATTCCGAAGCTACCGGCCGATAATTACTTTCGGGTTTTAGTTTAACGGGCGGGAATACGGGACGTACGATACCTATTAAGGCTTAAGGATTAGCCGATTAACGTCCCGGAACTCCTCGGTAAAAGGTAAGCGGCGGAAGGATTCGTCGGGTTACTTATTTATTAAATTCGCCGGCGGCGGTATCGATTTAACCCGTTAATGCGTTACGGCTTTTTTCTTATTCTCCTTAGCCTTTTTAAACGCCTTAGTAATCTCTTCGTCGGTAATTCCCGTAGCTTTTAACTACTCGAATAACTTAAGGACGGTCGCCCGGTTTAATTTAAGGAGTTATTTTTAGATAATAAGATTTATTATATATATATATATAAGAAAAAGAGAAATAGGAACGACGAAATTATAAATCTAGAATTAAGAAAAATCGAAAAACGAATTAAAACGAAGATAGAGGACCTAAGGAATAAAAGAAAGGAAGTAAATCGGAACCGTAGAATAACGAGAAATAAGAAGGAAGGTCGGACGAGAACGAGAGAGTCGAATACGTTACCTAGGTCGTAAATACCGTACTTAAGAGAGTCTCGATAATACCTACCTTAGCCTACGTTTAATTACGAATCTACGAACGTACGTATTTATTACTTTATTAAAAGTATATAATAAGAAGCTATAAGCTAACGCGTTTCTTATTATAGCTTTATACGTATACGGGGAAACGCGCTTTCCTAAAGCGTTAGCCGTAAAGATATATCTAATTATATCGTTAATACGTCTTCCTTTCTTCCTTTCTTTTTCCTCTTTAAGTATTTTATTTCGAAAATCCCTTCCCTTATAATTATTATATTCTTATTAATCTTTAGCCTGCCTTTCTTATTATTAATTTAAATTCTTACTTTTACCTTTAACTTATTATCTTTTTCCCTTTCCCTTTAATTCTTTTTATTTATTTTTACGATATCTTCCCCCTGCTCCGCCGGAATTCCCCTCTCCTTCTTCCTTTCTTCCGTTTATAGAAACGTACGTCGCGCCGATTTAGCCGACTTAATTAAACTCCTACGGGAGATTTACGGTAATAAAAATAACTAGAATAATATAGAGGAATATTAGCTTAATACTTTAAATAATTACGATTCGAGAAAGGATCCGATCGAGTTAAGATCCGATATAGCCTAAGCCTTCCGACTATCCGTTAATCGATCCCGAACTATAAACTAATAGCTATAGAAGTAAACGAAAGTAGCCTTAACTAACTTTCTCGTATGCCTCGCCCGTTACGATTACCTTATTAACGAAGATATCCGCGCCTTCTATACTATAACTAACTACGACCTTAAAAGCCGAAAGGCGGCCTTCGAAATAAATCCGTATTAAACGATAGGCTATCGATCGGTAGGATCGTTTAACTTCCTAACCCGTTAATACCTTCTCGATAACCTTATCTTTACTTTAGTTTTTACGATCTATACGGATTTAATAAACCCCGAACGAATTATTACCGACCCTTTAAAGTTCTCCTAAGCCTACTTCGCCGTAATATTATACCTTCTTAAGTCCCGAAGATTATTTAGCTTTAATATAGTTAGAAACGACGCTTTCGATCGGGCGGCGTATGCGTTCGGTTAATTATAGCGAGTATAGAAAGACGGTAATCTCGAGCCTAATATAACCTCTTAATTTACTTACTACGTCGCGTTAATAAATTAATAAAATAACTTTAGTTACGGTTTTTAAAGCGGTATTTTACCGTATTTTATCTTTAAACGATCGATCGAAGTCGCCCGTTAAGCCTAAGAAAATAAAGGACTTAATCCCCTTAATATTATAAGAGAATACGCCGAGGTAATAAAATAATTTTATAGCGTTCGAGTTTTAAAGGGAAGGGTAGGTATCGTTAAGCGTTTTCGGTAAGCCGTAAATTACTAAAAGTAAATTAACCTTATTAACGTTATAGTATCCGCTTAAAGTACGCCGATCGGCGAGCTCCTTAGCCGTAAATCCTTCGTTTAGTTTATCGTATAAGCCGAAATCCGCCGTTTCTTTATAGCCTTAGTACTTAATTTCCTTTACTCCTTCGTATTAACGGACGTAAACCTCTGCTACGATAACCTCGTTAAGGTTATAACGCGTTCCCTTCCTCCTTCCGGACTAGAAAGAATTAAGGCTTTTTAATCGGAGGAGACCTTTATACCGTATAGGTAAAGGGGAAATACCTAATTAACCCTCGGAACGCGCCCGCTCCTCTGCCATTTCCCTAACTAAAAGGGCTAGGACGAAACTAAGAAGAAGGTAGCTAAAATAAAGAAGGAAAACGCCGATCGGGTTAGATCGGCGAAGGTAAACCGGGCTAAGTTAACCGTAAAATAATAAAGAAGCTTCCTTATAATATTAAACGAAAAGCTAAAGGTACGACGGTAATAATTAAATAACGGCCGATAGAATAAAGTTTCGCGGTAGTTTTTAAAGGGAAATATTAATCGGGATATATCGTACTATCCTTTTTAATTTAATTATTCCTTACGGTATAATTAAATTAAGGAGGCTATAATAATACGGTAAGACATACCGTCTTAATATATTACGTAATACGTTACGATAGGCCTTATATCTATATAAAATAACTATAGCTTCCGTAAGTACGGGATATACTATACTTATTATTTAATTTATTACTTAGCTAGATTATTATCTTTATTATTTTTACCTTAATTAAAGATTCGTTTTTATTATTAGATTCGTCGTTCTCCGATTAGTATATCTATCTTAATTATAAGCGCTTAAGTTACTTCGTCGTACCGTTATAGCCGAATAAGTAACTTTTACGTTTTACCCCTTTTCTCCCCTTACCTCTTATGCCTTCGGGCTAGCAACTACTATATCTTTACGACTAAGGGGTATAGCTAAAATACGATAACTATATTAGATTCCTTACCTCTCGATTAATATAGCGATACTAGTTTCATTTATCTTAGACTATCGTACGTATTATAGTCTTCGATAGAATATACTTTCGAATAAACCTATCCAGGTCTCCAGTATCGCGTACGCTCTGCTCCTCCTCAGTACTCCTTAATTTCGTTATAATAGTAATAGAAAATTTTTAAAAAAAATTCATTAAAATTTAAGTTTTTTTTAAGTTTTCAAGTTAAATTTTAAGTTTTTAAGTTAAGTTTTAAGTTTTTAAGTTAAGTTTAAGTTTTTCTTAAAAAAAGTTTAAGTTAAGTTAAGTTTTTTTTTCAGACAACTTTTTTTTTAAGTTTAAGTTAAGTTCGGCCCGAACTTAACTTGAAAATTTTTTTTTACAACCCTGCCTACAGGTACCTACCTAGGTGCCTATATAGGTAGGTACCTAGCTAGGAGAGGCCTGGAATTTGTCCGGGCAGCAGGCTCTGCCCATTGGTCCCCCCCCCTGCTCTGCTCGACCAAACACCCCCTTCAACTAAAGTTTTACCCATCACATTAACCCTCGTTAGGGCAGGGCTCATCCTGTAGCTATACGTAACCGATTACGTGCTTACGCGCCTATATTAATTGCATATATTGTACGTGCTAACCATACCCCTTCCTACCCCGGGGTTCACCTATCCCAAAAACGGTTTTTTCCCTAGTGTAGATATGGGCTTCCGTAACCACACCCATCGCGAGACATCACCACGGCTCTGTGGCTACACATGGAAGGCCGCCCCCTCCAACTCGTCAACTATGCTCGCGAAGACATCTAATGGGTTACCATTCAAGCCATTGATCTCGTGCGTCAAACGCCGGCTGAGGCCGCCGCGCCCGCTCGTAGCCCACCCGTCCCTGCGAATCCATAGTACGCGGCCCTTCTCCGTCCAACCCATCCTCCGGTCGCGCGAGGCCCGGGCAGACTCGCCGCGTCGCTTCACCTACCATGTCGCCGCCTCGTTCTCTGCCAAGCACAAGACCTTCGACCCGACCGGCGATGTCTTCCTCTTCGACCCGTACAACCGTATCCAGACGGAGAAGAAGCGTCCCAAGTCGAAGCGCCCGGCTAGTGGGCAGGATGCCTTCTTCATAAGCCGCGTCGGCGACACCAACGCCGTCGCGTTCGGAATCGCCGACGGCGTCGGGGGCTGGGAGGATAGCGGCGTCGACCCGGCTGATTTCTCGCATAGTTTCTGCGATTACATGGCCTCGGCTGCATACGAACACAGGCTGGATGCGGGCGAGTCGCCGCTTACAGCTAGGTCGCTGATGCAGAGGGGATACGACGCCGTCTGTAAGGACCGAACCATCCACGCGGGGGGTAGCACGGCCGCCATCGCCATCGCGAGCGAGCATGGTAAGCTGGACGTAGCCAATCTAGGCGATTCCGGATTTGTGCACCTGCGCCTGAATGCCGTGCACAGCTATTCGGAGCCACAGACGCACGCCTTCAACACGCCCTACCAGCTCTCCGTCGTGCCGGCCAGCATGCTCGCGCGCGCTGCCGCGTTCGGCGGGGCGCAGCTGTGCGACTACCCTAAGGACGCGGACGTCACACAGCACACCCTGAAACACGGCGACGTTCTCGTCTTCGCCAGCGACGGGGTCTGGGACAATCTATTCAACCAAGACGTACTGCATATCGCCAGCCGGTTCATGATCCGCCACGGCGCCTGGAGGGCGGGCGACGGCGGCATACTGGTAGGTGACGACCTGCGGCCGTATACCCAACCCCAAGACCCGAGCCGTTGGCGGGCGGCGCTCCAGAGCGCGCTAGCTCTCGAGATCACCATGGCGGCCAAATTAGCCAGCACGAGCCGGCGAGTCGACGGGCCGTTCGCGAAGGAAGTTCAGAAATACTACCCCCAGGAGAACTGGCACGGCGGCAAGATCGACGACATCTGCGTCATCGTTGTCATCGTATCCGAGGACGGGGGGTCGGAGGCGACCAAGAGCAAACAGTGAGACGACTTCTTAGAAATGGCTTGGCCACCGGTTGGGTCTTTGCATCGTCGGGCGTTTAAAAATGGAGGGAGAGGGGGAGGGAGGACGGGAAATTCATAGACCACGGGCATTCTGCATGACGTACCCATGAGAACGCGGACAGGGCAATGCGATTCTTATTAGACCCCCCTTCACCCTCTCCAACTCAGCAGGTGTTGCTGTAGGTACATCGGCGAATCTCGCGCTTTCAGCCACGTCCGTAAGACGGTATTAGGTCGGATGCTGCGCCCAAGCCCATGCAGGAGATGAGCTCAACAGCGAAGACTACCAAGTAGCGCTGTTAGGAATCGAACCTATCCTTCGTCAAGTAACCTACCGATCTGCAGGCAGGGGGGGAGGGGAACGGGAAAGAAAAAGAAGGCTGATAGCGAGGTGATCATATGGGAGTAATTGCACAGTCCCGTTTGTGTAGGCATAGGCGAATCGGAGATGGAGATATCTAATAGCGACCCGGGATGCCTATATTTATCGACGGGTACTGCACACTCACCATCTCCCCCGTTCTCCTCCGGATTCTTGTGGGCGGCGACGCCGTGCAGGTCTCCAAGTAATTGTTTTTGGCATGCCGGCCCATCGTCCACATCTAGGTATCTGCCGGGCAAGCAGGCTAGTCATCTCGAAAGGCCATGGGTGCGTTGCGAGCCGGTTGTTCGAGTTTCTTGATGCCTGTGTACCTATTTCGGCCTGTGTGAGTTGGTGAAGTTAGGTGTGGGCACCTACCCGAGAGTACCTGAATAGAGGGTTAGGTGCCTAGGTAGGTACCTGCAGGTAGGTAGCAATACTTGGCTACCTAGGCTGAAACGGGGGCGATTAGTAGCCTTCCATCCCATGTGACATCGTAGGTAGGTACCTGTAGGTACCTGACAGGTACTGGTTGGGCAGTTGGGTGTGAGGCACGCTGGCCTAGACAACTCCCACGAGGCATTCATTCCCAGGTCCGGCTTGGCCTGCGAACACAAATTCCGCCGACAACAGGTACCCATTCGCTCCGCCCATTTTCTCCGCGCCGACTCTTGGTTCACCTCTTCGATTCCTCGATTCCTCCTCGAGAGGCGACCCCCCAACCCATAACCCCCATTATGGACAATCCTATACCTTCCTCGCAGGATGGCCTTCTAGCTGCCGCTCTCGACACGTCGTCTTCTGCTCAGCCCGGAGCTCTGCCGGAAGCCCATCCTACCGCCAGTCTCGATGTTCAGCTGCCTCCTCAGCTGCAAATCCCCAATGATCCTCTCGAAGACGCCTCAACAGACACCACTAGTGAAGGTAGCCTGAAGCGTCCGCACCCGCACGACGACGCCAGCGACGACTGGCAGACTGTCGAACGCCGCTCGTCCAAAAAAGCCAAGAAGGAGAAGAAGCTTCCCGCGCCGGCATCCACCAATTACCCATCCATCGCCTTCAACTACAACGCAAAGCTCCAATCCAAGATCACCTTGGACTCGATGCGCAGCTTGATCTTGTACATCTTCGCCGAAGGCGTGGCTCCGCAATGGGTTGCCATTTCCCATCGACCACAATTCCGAAAGATCGTGGCCCTCATGGTCCCCGGGCTAGAGGAGGCCATGTTCAAGCAGGACGTTGATTTCGCAACCTACAACGACGATCCCCTCGACCTTGAGCAGAAACCTCGGGTGTTGACCTCTCCCGACGATTACTATCCGCGCCTGCTCAAGAAAGAAGAGCTGCCGCCGATTTTGAGCGACTTCGCCGACATGTTTCCCCATCTCTGGCCGGTAAAGACCCCGGGAAACGAGAAGCACGGCACCATACGGTCGCCTCTCTACACCATGCTTACCGCGCCGACCGAGAGAACCAAGGAGGAGAAGAACCAGAGAGGGGTGCAGCCGGCCAAGGAGCCGAGAGGTTGGAAAGACGTGCGCACTCGAATCACAGAATTCCTGACGATGCCCGAGGATTTTCAAGCGAATGGTTATGTGCTACATCCGGCTTGCGTGCCTGCAGAGCGGCGCAGGACGCTCTCCGGCCTAGAAGGCTGGGTCCATACCAGCGTGGAGAATTTTGAGGACGGCGATGTCCCGGAAGATGAAATTCAGCAAGGGAGCATCACGGCCGGTCGAGAGCTCCTCGCCCTCGATTGCGAAATGTGCCTGACGGGTCCAGACGAATACTCTCTGACGAGGATCAGCTTGGTGAACTGGGAGGGAACCGTCGTCCTCGACGAACTCGTCAAGCCAGACAAGCCGATCATTGACTATGTAACTCGTTTTTCAGGCATCACGGAACAAATGCTGGCCCCGGTAACTACGAGCCTGAGGGATATCCAGGCCAGGCTGGTCGAGGTCCTCCACTCTCGTACGATCCTGATAGGACACTCGTTGGAGTCGGATCTGAAGGCTTTGCAGCTCACCCACCCTTTCATCGTCGACACCTCGATTCTCTACCCACATAACCGGGGCGCGCCGTTGAAGAACAGCCTCAAGTTCCTCGCACAACGATTCCTCAAGCGCGAAATTCAGAAAGGCACCGGCGGGCACGACTCTATAGAAGACGCAAAGACGTGCCTAGACCTCGTGAAGCAGAAATGCGAAAAGGGAAAGCATTGGGGGAGCCACGAGTCGCAAGGCGAAAACCTGTTTCGGCGGTTGACTCGTACGGGAACTTCGTACCGCGCCAACGGCGGCGCCGGGGCCAAAGGAGGTGTTCGTGTCGGGAAGACGAGCGCGATGGTGGATTGGGGAGATCCGATGAAGGGTGCCGGCGCGGCCTCTACGTTCCCCATCGGTTGCAAGTCGGACGAAGAGGTGACGGAAGGCGTCCTGCGCGCCGTCAAGGGCGATCCCGCCGCGGAAGAAATACCGTCCGGCGGCGTCGACTTCGTCTTCGCCCGGTTCCGCGAGCTGGAGGCCCTGCAGGGCTGGTGGAACGAGAACAGCGACCCGCCGCCGCCGGACCTAGCTGGCCTGTCGCTCGAGGACTGCGTACGGAACCTCACCCAGCGGATCCGGCGGATCCACGCGTCGCTACCCCCCTGCACAGCCTTCATCGTGTTCAGCGGCTCGGGGGACCCGCGGCAGATGGCGCGGCTGCAGGCGAGCCACGCCCAGTTCAAAAAGGAGTACAACGCGCCGGGCAGCAGGTGGGACGACCTCAGTGTCAAGTGGACGGACAGGGAGGACCAGGCGCTCCGGAAGGCGGTTGGCATCGCGCGCAACGGCATCGGGTTCATCGGCGTCAAATGACCGTCGCCGCCTCGCACTACGCGCGCGCTGATTGGCCTATACCCACGATTCGCTGCTCGCCATGACGGGCCGTAGGTAAAGCTACGTGTATTACTATATTTTGGAAAAGGATTCGGGGAAAAAAACGGGGGCGGGGGGACGGGGGCACATGAGGCACGAGATACGAACGCGCACATCGCACCCGGGATTTTGAGATACCCAATTTCATGCTCACTAGGTACTACCAAGCTAGGAGCATATAACAAGGTATACACGTCTTACTCAATGTCAGCATATCAATGTGTGTATCCTACCGTTCTACTGAAGGTACTGAATGTAGTGGCTTTTTCTACTTTCTGGCAATGTGTCTGGGGCAACTCTAGCTAGGTACGGCAGCTCTCAAGGTAGGGATAGCCGCATTTCCCCCTTCCAACAGGTGATCAGGGGAAACCCCTTCCTCCCCCTCCCAATGCGACATCCCTCCTCCCTCTCTTGCCCATCCCAATCGCCGCCCACTCCTCCCGCCAGCGACCAGGTCGCCAAGTCGCAGTCCTTCCCTGCCCGCCGTCGGGGTCGCAGCTCCATCAGCGGACACCTGCCGAGCCCTTCCCGGCCGACCGACGCAGGAACACCCGCCTCGATGGGGGGGTGTCTCGGCAAGACTCACATCTGGGACGGGGTCTGGGTCCGAGCCCGAGATAATCCAACCAAGCCATATGCAATCGGCGGGCATAGGAGGCATCTAGTCATTGATAGCACCCCCAGGTCAAGTCCATGCCATAGGGTGCTCGGTATTTATTCGTTCGTTTTCCTTTCCTTCATTCGTTCGTTTACTCTCTCTCTCTCTCTGACTATTCCGCGCCGGGAGCCTCAGAGACACGGTGTCCTAGCCCGATGCGTAAGTTGCCAGTAAATCGACCTGCCGGCGACCATGGGGCGCGTGATCTGCAGCTGCGGGAACTGCGCTCGGCGCCTGGGTGAGGTGCTCGATCTGTGGGTGGCGATCGGCGGAAGCTACATCAGTCCCGTCGCCGAGGGCGCCGACGGCTGGGACGTGGTGCCGAGCGGCCCGGCGCAAGGAGGCGACGAGCAGAGGCTGCTGGATAGCTGGTAGGCCACGGCCCTCAACGGCGCGGGCGCAGGAGAGATCTTGCTGATGGCAGCGTCTCCGATAGCCATCTCCAAGGTGTGGCCTGCGCCGGATGCCGCGCCGTGGTCGGCCTCAGATGCGTAGATACGCCGGTCAACCATGTCCTGCACGGGTGAGCAGATGTCGTGGGGGTTTCTCCTGGCTCGGTGGGACTGATGGACCTAGGGGCCAGCTACTGCTACCGAGTTCCTCGGTTGCTATCACTTCGCCTGGTGATGATAACTCCGTCGGAATCACAATCCAACGAACCCTCGAACGGAGAATACCTTCCAGCAGTGGTATTGTTACTACCGACACCCCAGCAACCATGGAAAGACGCGCAAATAATAATAACGACGCTCCGGGAATCGGTAGCCAATCTTTCTCGGGCAGTCAACGAGCTGATTTGGACAGTGCCTTGCTCGAGAGCGGATTTAGGGAGGCAGCAGGCGCGTCGCAGAGCCAGTCGATCCATGCCCACGTCGAGCGAGAAATTTCTTTGCTGAAGCAGACAGTCTCCGATATGCGTTTATCTCTGAATCAAAGCTGCGATTACAAGGCTAAAGAACGGGGCCGCGAGCATCGCATACGCCTTTCGGAGCTGCACTTCGCGAAGCCGCGGCTCGGGCGCATACGGGAAAAGCCGGCCGGGGCAAACGGGGCCATGAGAGAAGAGAACGCGGCAGCGAAGCCTGCCGCAAAGGAGATCGCCTCGTTGAGGGCCAAGTTTGAACAACTGAGGGACCGGGTGTTTCGAGGGCGTGCGCAGAGGTCGCCCAGCGAGCCTTTCGTTCCGGCACTAAAAGTAGAAATCCCATTACCGTTATCACCAGCGTCGGCTGGCGGGCAAGCCGAGTTGAAAGCCTGCAGGCGGAGCCTAGGCTTCTTAAAGGGTGGGAGCAGACGATCAAGAAAACGAGACCAAGAAGCACTAAGAACGCCATAGATGTGGGTGTCCGGCGCGGAAATTCTCACCATCATCGTCTGATTGGGGTGCAAATGGGAAGAGACTACATAGCCCCCCAACGCGATTTAGACCTATTCTCTAGAAACCTCCTCAGCCAGAAGGCCGATGTCGGGACTCTCCTCGAGCTCTCCTGCCGTGCAGGATTGAGACTCTTGGAGGTCGCGGCCCCTGACCAGCCCCCGAAGACCAAGCCGCCCACGTCTCACGAAGTCGGGCGCCATCGTAAGAGATATCTTAGGAGAGACTCGCCGAGAACTAGCGCGGGGGGACGTTGGATGACCGAACCCCTGTCTTGTGTGTTAAATGTAGACTCTTACGCTACACATAGTTACGAGTCAAAATCAACATCCATGCCTTCCAAGGCGAACTGGGCCAGTACTTGAATCGGTCGTAGGACTGCAGTCTCGAAGAACCGCGCCTCTTCCGGGCCGCTGGGCTTCGCGGCGAAGGCACGCACCAACGCGTTCTCGGTCTCGCGGCCCGGCAAGCTCTCGAGGTCATCTAGCAAGTCCCTCGCCTGGCGATATACTAGCCACTCTTTCGAGTAGGTATCCGGGAAGTAGTGAACAACCATGGCTAGGACGGTCTGGCACATGGTGGCTTGGTCCATCTTGCTCAAGGCCTGGGAAATTCTCGCGGGGAGCGAAGCAGCGCCGGCTCCCCCCGACGCGGGAGAGGTTTCCGACGCCGTGAGGGCTAAGAGCTTCGCGATCATCAGCATCCCCTTCGCCCTCGGCCCGGAGAAGGGCATGGGCTCCCGGTACGGATCGCTTCTCAGGGCGAGGAAGCAGGCGATGGCCAGGCTGTAGGCGTAATTGCTCTGCTCGGCGAAATAGGCGCCGGCGTCGACTAAGACCTGCGTCAACGGCTCCACGGCGAACAACCCCGCCTCCCGGAGCGGCGCGCACATCTTCCAGCGCCGCCGGAGCTGCCCCGGCCTCTCCGCCGGGTCGCGCTCTTGCAACGGCGCCGAGCAGGCCGGGTATATGTCGTCGATGGTGCGACGCAGGAGATCGCTCGGCGGCTGGATCGGCGGATGCCGCAGCGCGTCAGGGTCCGGGACGAGGCTGAACGCGTTGAGCTCGAGGCCCGGGTGCGCCCGGCAGACCTGGTACACGTCCAGATCGTCGGCGCATCGCCGACAGGCGCAGTCGAAGAAGTATCGCGACCTCAGGGCCTGCTGGCGCTGCGGACGCGGCCAAGCGCACTCTACGCGCGAGGACGAGGAGGGGGGCGGTTAGTAGCATGGATCGCAGGAACCGCACGCGCGTAGAGACCTCTCAGGGGAGGGGGACTCACCGATGTAGGAGATCTCGATCTCTTCGCCCTCGGCGATGTCCCGGTACGCGCGCAGCAGGGCGGCGCGCCCGGTGAACTGCACGAAGGCGTTCGGCACGCACGAGTGGTTGACCATGGCTAGCGCGGGGTTGACGTAGATGCCGCTCTGGCCGAAGTCGGCGTCAAACCTGTTGAACGAGTTGACTTCGAGCTGGCAAGGCACTGCGTTAGAATCTTGATCGGGAGTAGGGAGCAGGGGAAGGGGATGTTGAACACGGAAAAGGGGGCGCGGGCAGATTATCTATGTAGACAGACAACCGTCGTCACGGAGCTCGAACCTCTCCTCTCCTTCACGCCTCCTCGCCTCGCCACAGCCAAGCTCACCTTGCACAACACGTCCACGGCCTCCGCAACCTCGCGCGGGCCCGCCTCGCGGCCCAAGTAGTGCAGCGCCGCGCGGGCCTGGAGCTCCATCGCGGCCCAGCGGTCCGGGGCGGCGGCGCGCACCCGCGCCGCGTGGCCCTCCATGGCACCGGCTACGGCGGCCAGCGCGGCGGGCCGCACCAGGACCTGGACGAGGGCGCGCACGGGCGTCGGCAGGACGCGCGGCGGCCCCTCGGCGGCGCCCGACCCGGCGGCGCGCCGCAGCGCCGAGCACTCGCCGCGGCCGTGCGCCCCGCGCCAGTCCGCGCGCTGGCAGGCGACCGAGCAGTAGCGCGCCGCGCGGCAGGCCGTGCAGGCGCGGAGGCGCGGGCCGGCCGCGGCTCCGGCCGCGTCCCCCCCGACGGCCAGGCAGTAGCTGCAGGTCTGCGCCAGGCGCGGCGTGTCCGGCGTGGCGACGACGGCGGGGCTGTCGTCGAAGCGGGCGACGGTGCGGCCCGCGGGAAAAGCGCGGGCGGCGACTACGCAGCGTCCCCGGGATGCCGCACCGGAGGAGGAAGGGGAGAGGGGGTCGCCCCGGAGGGCGAGGCCCGCCGGTAGGGCTACGGGAAAGCCGGGAGCGGACATCGCGCGGGCTTGCTAGGCGTGTGCTCGGGCGGAGGAAAAGGAAGGGTGAAGTTGGCGGAGGGGTTGGGTAGGGGTGAATAGCTTCACGACACGGTATTGGCGGGTGATGGATGGTTGGTGTAGTTGGGATCTTCAGTGTCGTGGTGGATGTAGGTAGGTGGAGCGTAGTTGCAGGCGCTATGTGCGTGATTCCGTGGGCATTTCGAGCGGAAATTTACCCGCGTTGTGCACTTGATTCGTTGGAGGTCGAGGGCCATTGCATCCCCTCGAGAGCGCCATGCAGACACGACGTTGTTCGGTTGGGATTAGCAGCTCTCGCAATCATACCTATCTGTTAGGATTCCTCTATACCTGCCTGTTCCCTTTCTCCCCTCGTCTGTTGTATTCCGGCTCCATGATGGCATCAAACGCCGGAGCCCTTGCCCAAGGCCGATCTTTGGCGCATTCTTTGTGGCGTATAGATAACGGCAGACGCGACAAGCCCGTTCCGAGTCTGCTCTGGCGGCTGATCTCGCCTGATGCAGCCTCCGACTGTGCGAGTGATCGCCAGCGGGTAAAGACCTTGATATGCTTAGGCTCCTGGGGATCGGCCATGTCGAAGAATATGACGCAGTGCAGCCCTAGAAACAGGTCTGTGGTAGAACTAGCGTGTTATGTGCGACGCTCCCCCCGAACTTCTCCCTAAAATAGGTCAGCTTACAGCCATCAATACCCCCCCAAACCCCCTGTAGCACCTTATAACCCACCCCCAAAAACCCCCTATACCTAGCTCCCCCCTAACCTCATTAGAACTCCGAGGGCGATTATCGAGATGGCTTGCTCTGTGACCCGCGCGTTTATTTATTGGCGGCCTGTTCCGCCTGTTCCGCTTACGTAGTTTCGTTTCAACGTCGCTGAACATCACCGCCATCGTAACTAACATCCCCCCTGTTACCTCCTAGTTCTACCTCCGTCTCTCTTAGGATACCACATACGTATAATCCTCACCGTCAGTCCCAGCAGGCAGACGCAGCAGACATGGCCCCCGTCCTCATACCACCCACGGCCGGCGACGGCGACGCCGACCCTCCAGCCCCGCTCGTCACCTCGTGGCGCGTGCGCGCCGAGGCCGGCGAGCCCCAGGCCACCGTTCGCGTGCGCAACCTGCAGGGCGCCTTCGCCGTCGGCCGCGACGCCTGGGGCCGCGCGGGCAGGCTTCAGCCCGTGCTGCTGTCCGCCGAGGTGTCGTTTGCCCAGTCCTTCTCCTCTCCCTCCTCTGCCTCTGCCTCCGCCGATACGGACGAGCTCGACGCCGGCACCGCCCACTACGGGACCCTGAGCAAGACGCTGCTCGGCGCTCTCGAGCTCTGGCGGCGCGGCGCGGACGACCCCCCCGGCGACGGCGCTGCCGCCGCGGCGCCGCGGACAGCCGACGTGCTCGAGCTCCTGTGGGCCCGCGTGACGGGCCGCGCCGTCGACGGGAGCCGCGTCGCCCTGCCCCCCGACCAGTTGCCGTTCCTCGACGCGGCGCGTCTGCGCGCGCTGTCGCTCACCGTTACCCTGCCTAAGGCCTCGCTGCTCGGCGCCGGCGTCAGCCTGACCGCTGCCGCGAGCTACCGGCACGGAGACGGCCGGGGGGCCGAGGGAGGAGCAGACGCCGCGAGAGGCGTCCATGGGAACCCCCTCGGCGCCTACGCCCGCACCCTCCGCATCGCCGGCCTCCGCGTGCCGACCCTCGTCGGCGTCAACCCCAACGAGCGCGGCGCCAAGCAGCTCCTCGTCGCCGACGTCGAGATCGACCGCTTCGACGCCGTGGACGATGTGCATAGTGAACTCGAGAGACTCGTTGTTGAGGTGAATATGCTCCCCTTCCCATTTGGCCGGTCTCTCTCGAACATTATTTTCCCCTAGACCGTAGCGTAGCAATAGGCAACTAACCGTCGACTCACTAACCCCCCGTCTAGACGATGGAGTCCTCCTCTTTCAGGACCCTCGAGGCTCTCGCGTCCCGCGTGGCGGAGCGCATCCTCTCCGACTTCCGGGTCGCCTCCCCCTCTACTACTGCCACTACTGCTGCTGCTGCTTCCAACTCCGTCGAGCCGCTCTCCGCGAGGCAGCGCGGCTGGCAGGTCAGGGTCGCTCTGGAGAAGCCGGTCGCGGTGCCCTTCGCGGAGTGCCCCGTCGTGGAGGTGACGATGGGACCGTGATGCCACGGTAGAGGCATATAGACGGAACATGCGTGTGTTGCGTAGGCACATGGGCATCGCGATAGGGACAGGGTCCAGTGCTGTAGGTACTACTCGTTTCTCACGGGTGCGATGGCTAAATAGGTACGAATGGCGGTACGGCCGGCCCATCGATACACACGTGAATGTAAGTACTCTCTCTGCCGACCTACACGCGCTTTTCATCTTCTATCCTCACATCTTAACCTTGGGACGCCTAGGTCGGCTTAAGGAACCCCTTCAGCAACGTCGGCGACGGTGCCATTTGCCGTGACCACCGGCTCCCCGCCTTGGGGCATAATTAGCCGCCGGGACGCAGAGGCCACCGGCCGGTAGCCCTTCAACCCAGGAGAATACGAAGGCCGCTATTTTAGTGACTCGCGGTTATTACAGGTAGGTGAGCATAGTAGGGAGTTCGAGTCTCGTCACAGAACCATATAGGGCGAACTAGTTGATTACATCAATCAGAGCCAAGGTAGTTTCCCCCAGTGATGAACCTGCATCTAAGCGGGCCAAAGTGATTCTATGGTAGGAAGCTATCTATGTACTTTTTACGAAGCGGTGCCCACCACCCCGGGATGGGTGCATTCGAAACTCTGCGGTCCTGCTTAGAACGAGAAACCAACGTGCAACGCCCCGTAGCAGAGAACATAACTAGCCGCCCCGGCCCCCTAGTCCTCCCCCGGGTCAGCGCCTCTAGTATACGAGCAAGGCCTAGGTAGACCTTCCATCCGCTCAGTGGTAGTTTCCCCGATAGCTTCCTGAATACGGCCCTCGGCGAACTAGACGCTGCCCAGGCTCGCTCGCTTTCGGTTCCAGCTTTAAGAAGCGTACCTACGCATTGGCCCGAGGCTCGCCGAAGGGTAAGGCCAATCTGGCTGCTCGCGTCCTCTCCTAAGTCCGCGTAGGTTAGGCAAGATAGAGGGCATGGTTTCTAGGGGCAGTTGTAAAGAGGAGGGAAAGGGAGGGCGGGGGAGGGGCCAGGGGGGGATAGTGATCTAGATACACGCCAAACGGTGGGAGATAATATCCCGTCTGCCTAGCCCCGGCGGCTAGTAGCCTCTCGACGGCCCCTTTCGAGAGCGGGAGAGCGGCGCAGGGCAGACTATACGGGTGCGAGATAGCGGGGGTACGGGCCGCTGTGAGCTTCCACGCGGGCAACCGACGCTCCCCAACCACGACGACTTCTTCGTTGGGTATCCAGCCAGGCTGCCGTCCCGACGGGATCCCTCGTTTGCTAAGGGGCGGCCCGCCGGGACGTAGAGGGGCCGTGCCGCGCCCGCGGGGGCTCGATGGGCGGCAGAGGGTAGAGAGGGGGCAGACATTGTCCAGGCATACTTCTATTATTTCGCTATCATCACCTGACAGGATGCCGCCTGCATCCGCGCTCTGAACCGTCCTCCGCCCAGCACACTATCCAACCCAGGAAGCGATTGCTCGCTCGCATCGTGCGCGCCGACCCTATCTGCCACCGTCCATCGGTCTACCGCGCGGGCAGTAGCGTGCGTAGCAACCCGGGAGCGGGAGCGGGAGCGGGGATACGAAGAATGGGGAGGGCAAAGATGGATGCGAGAGGGCTACTCCAGGGCCCTCTCGCAGAGCGGCACGTCGCCGTGCGTGATCTCGTCGACGAACCGCGGGTCCGGGTCGTAGAGCATGACGTGGAAGTGCTCGATGGCGTGGACCGACTTCAGAGAGCGCCAGTTCTTGAACCAGATGACCTGCTCTCCCCGCCCCGCGGCGTCTTAGCGTGGCGTCGCGACGGCAAGGAGAATGCTTTTCTTCTTTTCCTCTTTTGCTTTTTCTTTTTTAAGAAAAAAGGGAAAATCGCAGACGAACACACAAGCGGAAACCCACTTACACGATCCGGCGGCACCCTGGACGTAAAGGTTCGCTGCACGTAGGCGTCGACCTCGGCGCGGGCGTCGTCGGTGAGGTCGCCGGTGGCGGGGTCCTCGGGGAGGGCGAACTTGGTCCAGACGACGAGGTGGACAATGCGGGGGTCGACGCCGTAGGGCCAGTCGTTGCGGAGGACGCGGACGTCGGGGTCGTCGGCGGCGGCGGGGGAGACGGGGGGGAACAGGGGGCGGCGCGGGGGGCGGGCGACGTCGGCGGCGGGCCAGCGCAGGCGGTGCGCCAGCACGAAGGCCAGCACGCTGCCGTGCTCGCGCCGCAGCGCCGCACCGTACGCCAGGTACCGCCGCAGGTCCGACGGCACGCGCCGGAACGCGTCCAGCCGGTTCTCCGCCGCCATCGCCCGCACCTCCCCCCACGTCGCCCGCCGGTACGCCGCGTCCGGAGTCCCGATGATCCCCCGGTCCTTCGCGCTCAGCTCCCGCAGGAACGCCGGGCACGTCGCCTCGCGCTCCGCCTCCGGCACGTTGACCTGCCAGTAGGGGAGAGCGGGTTCCTGCGGCGGCGGCGGTGGCGGCTCGTCGAGGCTGTCCATCTTTTCGTGCTCGCCGGGCGATGTGCTCGTTTCCGCGTTTTCGGCCATGTGGTGCCCCGGTAGGTGCCTAGGCGTCTCCAGGTAGGCGTGCATGCGCCAGGTGCATGTCCGCGTAGGATAGGACGGGCGGTGATCTCAAGTTCAGCCTGCCTCGGCGAGGAAATACTGCCAATATTAGCTCCAAGTGTGCCGTCAATAAAACACGCTGAATTCTCGTGAGCGCCGCTGGACCAATCACCCTGTTCCACGAGAGGCATACGAGAGCCGAAACTGGGAATGGGCTGAGCCTCCCCCCCCATGCGCTGCGCTGCCCACAGCACAGCTGAGAGGTCCGCGGTGAAGGCGTTGTTGTGTGTGTCAAAAATGAGCAGAGAGCTACCTGGCTACTTGGAACGAGTCAGGGGTCCATTGGCTGGCAGAGGACCGCTGTGGACAGTCGGCCATAAGTGCACACAGCTAGGTTACTTGGCATGGCTACCTAGTCTGTTACCCGCTCTGTTACCCGATCTGCCACGTAGACAGGTAGAATAAAACCCTCTCAGTGTACCACCAGTATCACTTGCAGCTAGATACTTGCCTGCACGCCGCTGTGGAACTATCGTATGCGACGTGTTGGAAAAAAAAAGAAATTAATCACGAAGATCGAGGGCGATGCACCCGGGGGCTGAAAGGGCCGTATCGGACTTCATGAGTCCAAGCATGTGCTCGTCACGTCCTGCTCGTTGGACGCTTGCGCCTCACCATGCGCAATTCCCTCGGCCTAATGTCGCCATCAAAGGTATCTACTAAGATGGGTAGGTAGGTAGAATAGAGAATAGGAGAGAGACGGTGAGGATGGGTCTAGGGTAGCAGTGCGACCCCCCCCTCCCCCACCCCCCCCCCCCAAAAAAAACATGATAACGACACAGGGCAGAGGCCATGTAACCGTTTGTGTTCGTGTCGTTCCCAGGCGTTGGCACCCTCTTCCCACACGACAGACTCAAGCTTTCCGGACAAGCCACCCTTCAGGTTAGCCCAGTGCGGCTCCCATCATAGTAGGGAGCGAACGGTGGTGAAGGTCGGGAAGTGTGTTGGGGTATGTGCGTAGTAGGTATGCTATGGTGTGTATTATGTGTCCGTATCTGTTTATACCTAGCAGCCAGATGATATTTGATAGATTGTAAGTGGTGATACCATCGGTTAGCCCCCTTTTCGCCTGCTCCCCCACGCGGTATTAACCTTCCGGCTGTCTATTTGCTACCGGCCCAGCGTGGCTGAGCTGAGCTGCTTGCTTCGATAACTCGTCGAGGAGGAGATTGAATGTGTAGGAGACTGCCTGTTTGTGTCCCCGATGGCAGAGACAACGAAAGAGAGAGAACGTAGAGACGTAGAGGTCCGATCCTGACCGGTGGGTGTGCGACACGATCAATCGGGGCCTGACTGGTTCCCGACAGCTTATCCACGACCCAACCAATTTGGGAGTGGATGGCTCCAGAACACCGTTCTCACGTCCTTCCCGCCAGACGGATAGGGAGTGCTGCAGTACGTAGCATGGCGGGTGAGCTATTTGCTCAGCGGTGGAGAAGGAGCGGCGCTAGTTGTCGTGAGAAACCCAACCTTGAGTCGACTATAGCCGGTCCAGCCTGGGTTCTCACTACACTCACCACCGCTCCCGATACGCGGATCGTTACCGACAAACGCACGCCTGCACGCCTGCGCGCCCATTACAGACATACCCGACGAAGCCGCTTGCCACTTGCCTTAGGGCTGGATTAATATGGCGTTATCGAGGAGAGGACGAGAAGGGCGTCGGTGGTGGCGATGTTGAGTGTCGACCAATGCGCGTGCTGCATGTGCTGGGAAATGTCACCCACCCTCGTTGTTCTGCGAACAAGTCCAGACTCGACCACGGATGGGAGAGCTCAGGCCGGCTCCTGTCCCACCCCCCTCAAGGGGCCGCTCAAACGGGTGGAGGGAGGATGTGGTCAACCTCTTTGCCGCACTCAGGTGCCTACCTACATATACGTAGAGAGCTGTGAAGGTAGCAGGTATCACCGTTTGGGTTGTGGCACCGGCCCAAACTACACGCGTCTTAGGCCGCGGACCTTTTTGCTGCTTGGTAGAGCAGGGTCTAGGCCGCGCCAACAGGGCGCCCAAAGGGTACTAGCCCGGCTTGGGTCGAGGGGACGGTTCGAAATATGATCCATCTACAAATGGAGCCGAGGGGGAGCTTCGCTGTCGGGTACAAGGGAGCATGTACACCGCAACTCGAATGTATCTTCGCTGGCATCGCCATCAAGGGGCCGTTACCGACAATTTCCTTGGAAGCGACCGCAAGGGCTGCCCAGCCTCCCGCGAGGGTCGAGAGTTGGGAGAGGAGGGGGAGAAAAAAAAAAGAATAAATAAGAAGACAAGACGGTGCTCTTGGGCCGATTTCCTCTAACTAGTGCTCCTGTCCTCTCCTCACAGAACATCCTGATGTTGGGTGGACTACTTGCAATTGGTTGTCAGGCATCGATAGGTATGTTGATGATCTTCTCCTTCTCGTCGAGGTAGTTTTTTTTCTCTTCCCTTCTCTTCTCTTTCGGGTCTCGTCCCCCGCTCCGGCTCTTTCATGTGATTGCTTATCCACCTCCTGCCAGCAGCGAGGAGGGGAAGCCACTCACGAGCGAGGGAGTGTCTCCCGAGTACGCACAGGCGAAGGAGATGCTAGCAAAGCTAGCAAAGCTGTCCATCGACATCGACCGGTGCCTATGTCCGCTGTTCCACGAGCGTCCTGTGTTAGGTGCTGCCACCGCAGCTGGCTCTCGCCCAAGGCGAGGCCGGAGCTCGTCAGGAAATGGCAGGGTAGCAGCGCTGCTCGTCACGTTGCGGGAAGTGGGATGATCTGCGAAGATGCTGGATGGGGAATGCTTAGAATGGGTTGGAATGCGGCCGGCGTCGAAGGCAGGGCAGGCGAGAAGAGAGGCGAGAGGCGAGAGGCGATCGGGCGAGGGGCTATTATTATTAGATCGGCCCGTTCTCCATTACGTCAACGGTGCCGTTGCGGTGCAGAGCAGCTAACTCGGCCCTGTTTTGTTACCAGGTCAGACACATCATAGAGAGAGCAGAGAGAACGCCCAATCGCGATAACGAGCCGAGCAACCCCTCCAGTTAGGTACCTACCTGCACGCCTTATAGGCACCTAAGGTAGCTGGCAGAGCTCCGTCGCCAACCAAATCTACCCCGCCATCCTCCCATTAGCCCATCCCGGCCGCTGTCCTCCCCCTCCTTCCCGGACCATCTACCTACCGTCGCCGTCCTAACCTTCCTGACGAGTCAAAAAGAAGAGGTTCTAACAAATCTTTATTTCCCCCTCCCTTCCTCCCCCTCTACCTGCCCGACCTCTCTCCAACTACAACCACATCTGCTCTCCAGCATCCTCATACTCATACTCATACTCATACTCATCCCCATCCCCATCCCCATCCCCATCCCCATCCTCGCCAGCCCCCTCCGCCCTCCCCCCTGGGATATAAGGCCCGCCGAAGCTCCCTCTTCTCCTCTCGCGCCGCACTCCTCGGTCGGACACCGTTCAAAGATTCCACGCCTGCCCTCGAAACGACACCGCACACTAGCTGCCTAGCCCAACTAGCCTGACACGATGGCCCAAGCAGTCAAGAGCGCGCTGCCTACTCACCTCAAGCCCACCGGGCCCGGTGGCAAGGAGGACGCAGATTTTGCCGGCAGACACCACGGCAAGACTCGGTCACACATGGTGAGTAGATATCTAGACAAACCCGCCCTCTTCTCTTCCTCGATTCCCTGTCAGGCTTGTCGCCTGGGCCTCTGTCATCTAGAAGCTGCCCGTATTCTCTACCCACCGAGCACTGCTCGCTCTGTCGCGAATCCTCCATTGGGCATTCGTCTACATGGATGTTTGTCGTTTTGCCCCGCTCCCACATCCGGCGGAGAGCGAGTTCAAGTGTCTGGCCTTGTGCGTCTGGCTTCAAATACTGCTACGACTGCAATAGGGCAAGTCTGCTCTAGTAACCTCCACGCCGGACACAAATTGCTCCCGTGCTCCTTTAGATGACGCGTCAATGCATTGGCCTAGATCACCGTCCTTGTCATCTCTCCGTCACGAAATCCTCCTTACTCTGCCAGGGGATTTCTAGGTCTCCGAAGGGGATTTGGGAGACCTTCCTAACCCTTTATTCGCCCCCCCGAGCCCGAACCCGATACCCTCAATTTGGTGCAGACATGAACTCTATCCTGATCCCCCTGATACTCTCGTGATAATTTGGCCAGAAATCTAGCAGCGATGACATATTATCTGACTGACGCGTTTAAGGCTTTCGAAAATGCGTCCACCAGCGTTGCTGCCGCCCAGATGCGCAACGCCTTGACCGAGCTTGCGGAAACTGTCAAGGACGAAGAACAGAAGAAGGTACGTTGTCCGTACCTTTGGGTCGCCGACTTCGAATGCAGAGAGCTAATGGGTGCCTTGCAGTTGTTCGACACAGAAATGGACAACTTCTTTGCTCTCTTCCGTCGCTACCTAAATGACAAAGCCAAGAGCAATGCTGTGTACGTGGTATCGAACTCGCTGGAAGGACGCTGCTAATACTGGGAATAGCGATTGGGACCGCATCGCCCCCCCGGCGCAGGGTCAAGTTGTCGACTATGAGGATCTGGCTAACAGCGAATCCGTGGGATTCCTCAACAAGCTCGCCGTCCTGAAGCTGAACGGTGGCCTGGGTACGTCCATGGGATGCGTAGGTCCCAAGTCGGTTATCGAAGTTCGCGATGGCATGTCTTTCCTAGACATGTCCGTACGACAAGTCGAATACTTGAACCGAACATACAACACCAACGTTCCCTTTATCCTGATGAATTCGTTCAATACACACGATGACACCGCTGCCATCATCAAGAAATACGAAGGACACAACGTCGACATCCTCACCTTCAACCAGTCGCGTTACCCTCGTATCTACAAGGACTCCCTCTTACCCGTGCCGAAGACGTTCGACTCGGCCATTAATGAATGGTATCCCCCGGGACACGGTGACGTATTCGAGTCCCTCTATAACTCCGGCCTCCTCGACAAGCTGATCGATCGCGGCATCGAGATAATCTTCTTGTCCAACGTGGATAACTTGGGTGCCGTCGTGGATCTGCGCATCCTACAGCACATGGTCGAGACGGGAGCCGAGTACCTCATGGAGTTGACCAACAAGACCAAGGCTGACGTAAAAGGTGGTACCATCATTGACTACGAGGGCTCGGTCCGCTTGCTCGAGATTGCTCAAGTACCGAAGGAGCACACGAATGAGTTCAAGTCGATAAAGAAGTTCAAGTACTTCAACACCAACAACATCTGGATGAGCACCAAGGCCGTCAAGCGTGTGGTGGAGAACAACGAGCTCGCGATGGAGATCATTCCCAACGGAAAGTCCATCCCCGGTGACAAGAAGGGCGAATCCGACATCTCCATCCTCCAGCTCGAGACCGCCGTCGGTGCTGCTATTCGTCACTTCAACAATGCCCATGGTGTCAACGTGCCCCGTCGACGATTCTTACCCGTCAAGACGTGCTCAGACCTGATGCTTGTCAAGTCGGACCTCTACACCATCAAGCACGGGCAATTGCAAATGAGCCCTAGCCGATTTGGTGGCGCGCCGCTCATCAAGCTCGGAAATGACTTCAAGAAGGTATCCGATTTCCAGAAGCGTATCCCGTCGATTCCGAAGATCATCGAGCTCGACCACCTCACCATCACGGGCAACGTCAACTTGCATCGCGGCGTGGAGCTTAAGGGAACCGTCATCATCGTGGCGACAGAGGGCTCTACAATCGACATTCCTCCCGGATCCATCCTGGAGAATGTCGTGGTGCAGGGAAGCTTACGTCTACTGGAGCATTAATTTTACGCGAAAAGGGGCGATGGTTGACGGTGATGCACTCAGAAGCTTTCCGAGTGTTTGTTGCTCGCCGTACTTATATTGATACGTAGACGTTTGCTTCAGTAAGTCTACAGGCCATGTTAGGAGGTATGGGTCTTTTTTAGAGGCAGATGGAAGGCGGAAGGAAACGGGCGCGTCAGGTAAAAGAGGACGTCGAGATGATAATGTTGCACAATAAAGAGACGCATGCATATGCAAGCAGTAATACATTTACGTGCCCACGTTGCGGAAAGCAGATGTGAAGTTCTATCTCTACCGCGATGTAACCTGGGTAGATTTCCCCGGATTAGGTGGTGTGGCCGGGCTTGATCACGCTCGCGTAGTACTGCATGCGCGGGTGGCATGTAGGTAAGTCGGGTCCTCGCTGTTCACTACTCCTAGGCGGGCTGACGACGTCGTCGCCTGTCCTGATGCGGGTATGCGCGTACATGTAGGTGCCCGAGGCAATCGATCCTTCTTCCTCTTCCTCCCCACGGGTAAGGGAGGTCCCCCTCCCTGTCTTAGAGGACCGACGAAGCAATGGCTTTCTGTTCTTTGCTCAAAAAAAGTACTAGGGTGGCTTTCTCACGAGGAGGTTCTGCCTGACTCTCGGAGGCGGGAAATAGACGGACGGACGGATAGATGGGTTAGGTGTAAGGATAATAGATATATTGACGCACAGCGTGCCCGGTGCCGGATCTACGTGGCTATCTACCTCATAAACCTGGCTCACTCGGCACCTGTGCGCGCCGAGTTGCGGATGTAGACGATGCGCGTTGGCTAGCTACCTAGCGGGACTACCTTAGCTAGACTGTGTAGGCGGGGTGGCTCTCTTGTCGATCCCTCCCTCCCGCCGCCCTTCTACCGCGACAAGACGACGACGACGGCCGCGTCCCGCCTGTGCCCACGCCTACTTGCCCTTCTTCTTCATCGCGTCGGTGCACGAGGGGCAGTACCACCGGCCCTCGGGCTCCGACTTGAGTCCGACGCAGGTCCAGTGGAACCACTCGAATGGGCAGGCCGGGTTGTCGCAGGCCACCATATCGCCGTACGATATATGCTGGCACAGGCAGTACTTCTTGCCCTCCTCGTCCTCCTCGTTCTCCTCGCCCTCGCCCTCGTCCTCCTCGTCCTCCTCCTCGTCTATCCCGTCCTCCTCGTTCTCTTCGTTGCCGCTGTCCTCCGACTTGCGTCGAGCCCCCGCGCCCGCCACCGCCGCCGCTGCTGCTGCCGCCGCCGCTCTGGGACCTGCGCCGGAGCCCTCGCCGCCACCGGTTCCGCCAGTCCCGCGGCGGTCCGCCATCGCCGTGTCGCCGTCCGCGTCGACCGCCCCCGCGCCCGACGGCGTGCCCGAGGCCGCTACGGCGGCTGCGGCTGCGGTGACCGACTGGGCGTGCAGCTGCGAGTGCGAGTGCTTGTGCCCGCGCCCCGGCACCGGGGTACCCGCGCTGCTGCTTGCGCGCGAGTGCTTGCCCCGCGACGAGCGCACTGACTCGGCCTCGGAGAGCTCGCTGTCGGCCGTCGACGCCGGCGACCCCTTCGACACGCCCGCGCGCTTAACGCGGGACAGCGTCGACTTGGGGCCCGGCGGCTTCTTGCGGCCGACGCCGGCGGCCGAGGGTGTAGTCTTGCGCCCGCCGGCGATAGCGCTGCTTGCCTTCGTCGTCACCCTGGGACCGGCGCTGCCCGCCCGCCCCGTGGCTCCCGGCGTTCCGGCCTTGGGAGTGCCCGGCCCCAGGGAGGAGTGGCGGGCGAGCCCGCTCGACGTCCCCGGCAGGCCACCTAGGCTAGAATTCACCCGCGGGCCCCTCTTAGGGGCGCCGCTGCCCGGTCCGGCCGAGGTCTCGCGTTGGTTGCGGCTGTTCAGGATGATGCTCGCGGCGGGGGAGGTGGGCGTCGAGCTCGAGGCGTGGGCCTGCGACTGGGTAGTTCGGATCTGGGGGATGGAGACCCTCGGGCCGACGGGGGTCGCGTTATTGGTGATGGGGTTGAGCGGGGTGTGGGACGTCGAGACGGTCAGGCGAAGGTTGCCGTCGCTGTTCGCGGCGCTGGGCCGGACGAGAGACGGTATCTCGTCGGGGTCGGTGAAGCCGGGCTCGCCGCGGTCGCTAAGCTGCTTGATCTGAAGGTCGAGATATCGCAGGTGCTTATCGTACAGGGCCTTCGATTTCTGGGCGAGGGCTATCTTCTCTTCGCTCAGCTTGTCGGCGCGCGCGTAGGTTTCGCGGATGGTGTCGCGCAGGGTCTGCTCGCGGGGGTTGTGGTGGTGGCTGCCGTGCTGACGAATGAAGCGCTGGATCTTGGTGTCGCACTCGTCGATGGTCTTGATGCATTCGGCGTAGGAGCGGTCCTTGTCGGCGATCTCATCCTGGATGAAGCGGATCTCTTCGGGCAGGTTGGCGGTGCGATGGATGAATTCCTCGAGGATGATGGCGGGATCTTGCGCCTCGACCGACGGCGCCATCTTCTTCACGAAGTCTATAGAGAGGTCGTCTCTAGGCATGGTTGTTAACCTGGCCCTCTAAGCGGAGGGCGCGCTCCAAGCGGGTCACGCAGTGGTTAGGAGAAGGTTGGTGGAGACGGCAGCACGCGGGCGTGGTTAAACTCGGGGGACGAAGGGGGAAAGCAGGAGGCAGGGAGTGTCGGTTAGCAGGAGTTGAGCAGTTGCTGTGGTGGTTGTGGTAAGGGTGATGGTGGCGGCGGAAGCGGCGGGAGTGCCGGCGTTGCTACTCTCTTCTTCTTCTTTTTTTTAACGGGTATTATCTTTCTTCTCCTTCTGTTCACGTGTCCTGATTATTTTCTTGGTCTTTTGGCTCTTTACCGCACGTCTCCTCCCTCCCCAAGGTCACCTTGTCCTTTCTGGGAAGTGATGGGAGGCGTGTGCAAGTGGAGAGAGGGCGACGATGTTACAATTTAAGAAGTACGCGCGGTAGCCAAGGGGCGGAGAGAGAACAACGGCGTGGTGAGGGAGCCGTCGGGGTGGCAGGCAAGAGGTGTGGAGGGCAATATGGGGGACTCGAGCTCTGGCTCACCTTCCTGACCATTCCCGACAACAATCACAGCTGGGATCCCCCACATCAGGAGGAGCAACGGAACCGGAGATGGGGGAGGGGAGGACGCAGGCCAGTACGGCGGATAGGTACCCGATGTAGGTGCGAGATAGGAATATAGGCACGTAGGAGGTGGGCGGGTAGCAAATACAGGCCGGCAGAGGGCTGGTCAGCAGGGTGTAGGGGCGTCGCCAGGAGCGGCGGCAAGCACGAGAATGGCTTCGAGGACGAGAGGTCGGGTGGAGAGAAGCGCGCGGAGGGCGGTAGAGGCGGCGAGGAATGGCGTCGAATCGCTATCGGGGCTGGACCCGTTATTTGTCAGCCAGCCCGGCGGGACGTGACATGTACATGCATATGTACCTGGGTACTTGTGCATCGATGCAACGCGCGATTGGCGAGTTGGGGGATTGGGAGCAGCTAACAGGTACCTACCTCTACCTAGGTAGGTACCTGGTAGGTAGGTACCTAAGGCAGTTACAAGGTATCTCGGCACCTTAGGTACCTAAGGCACCTTAACCTAATCTCCCTACTCATAGAGGTCGGTACCTGCACCATGTACAGAGGACCCCCGGATGTGCCCCATCTCTCTCCACCGGTGTAAGGCATATATGACTACGATGTATAGCATATATATACCGACGTAGAAGAGTATGTGTACAAGACGAACCCCTCTGCATCATCGCGTTCGGTGCAACTCTGTATACATAATGTATCTGGCTTGGCGCGGCGCGGTCCTGGTCCAGCCCCGATAGGGCGTAGCGGCGTCGGCAGTGGAGCCGCGGCTTCGACCTGTCTGGGTGGTGCATTGGCAGTGGGGACTTGGCTAAACCGCAGCCAGCTAGTGCGCGAAGTACCTCGAAGTTGCCTCTCCCGTCGCCTTCAACCCGAATTTCCGGCCAGTCTCACGGAATCTTCAATCTCGAGCCCAAGCCCAGGTACCTACATCTTCAAACCGACGACGACGACCTCGCTGTGGCCGAGACAAGGCGAGGACCCGTCTTCGGAGACGCCAACACTGTTGTTAACACGATATCCAACCTCACATCCCCCGTGACTCGCCTGCTGATCGCCGGTACCAGATCCTGCCAGTGCACAACCACAACCACCTATTCCTGGTGCGTCTCGCCAAACCGCTGCCTCTCTACCAGCCTAATTTCCGTGCCACTCCAGCCGCTGCAAGCGTTTTGGCCTTTTCGCGCCCCCCCGCAGCCATTCGGAATAAGAAAACCTTCGCCGTAGGTTCGTAGGACTTCAAAGCCTAGATACGTGACTACGCACTCCCTACACTGCATGCACACTGCCCTACTTGCCTGCTGGCCTCGTCCCGCCGTACACACGTCCTTGCTCTCCCCAGGGCGCTCCCGAGTTCTGTCACACGCCCATCCCCTGGTTGGTTCGCGATGGAGGAAGATCCGGCAAATCATTACTCGCTGCGGATCCCGAAACCAAACTATCTCCCTCACAAAGTTGCGGTGGATGAGCCGGTAGTAAAGAAGTTCTACAAGCCGCTGGATCGGCCGTCCGACCTGGAAAACGTCGCCTATCTGAACAAGATCAAGCGCTTCGCCCACGAACATGGCATCACGAGACCCAAGGGCTATACCGTCTCCTTCCACTACAACCCCGAGATGGAGAGGCACCATTTCGGCCAGACGCACCCCATGAAGCCTTGGCGCTTGACCCTCACCAAGAGCCTGGTCTCGGCCTACGGTATGAATTTCGCCATGGACAACTACACCGCCCGGGCCGCCACCTACGAGGAGCTTACGGCCTTCCACACCGACGACTACGTCGAATTCCTCGCCTCGGTCCAGCCTCAGCCGCTCCCCCTCGACGTCGACAACTCCCACCCGGATCTCAAATTCAATCTGGGCGGCAGCGACTGCCCGCTCTTCGAGGGACTGTACGATTACTGCTCCATGTCTGCCGGCGGTTCTCTGGATGCCGCGAGGAAACTGTGCGCGAAGCAGTCCGACATTGCCGTATCCTGGGGCGGAGGCCTTCACCACGCCAAGAAGTCGGAGGCGTCGGGATTCTGTTACATAAACGACATCGTCCTCGGCATCCTACAGCTGCTGCGCGTCCACCCCCGAGTGCTCTACATCGATATCGACGTGCATCACGGCGACGGCGTCGAGGAGGCTTTCTTCTCCACCGACCGGGTCATGACGGTCTCCTTCCACAAATATGACCCCCAAGTCTTCTTCCCCGGCACCGGCGGCTTGGAAGATAACGGCCCGCGGAGCGAGCACAATCCGGGAGCGCACCATGCCATCAACGTGCCGTTGAACGACGGGATCACGGACGAGCAGTACGAGTGGCTCTTCAAGAGCATCATCTCCAGGTGCATCGAGAAATTCCAGCCCGGTGCCATCGCCCTCCAATGCGGCGCCGACTCGCTCGCCGGGGACCGGCTGGGCAAGTTCAACCTCCTCGTCCAGGGCCACGCCTCGTGCGTGCAGTACTGCAAGAGCCTCAACATCCCCATGCTCATGTTCGGCGGCGGGGGCTACACGCCGCGGAACGTCGCGCGCGCCTGGGCGTACGAGACGTCGGTCGCCATCGGCCACAACAAGGACATCCCGACCGAGCTCCCGATCCACACGCCCTGGCGCGAGCGGTTCCGGCAGGACACGCTGCTGCCCACGCTGGAGCAGATCCTGGGCGAGCCCCGCCAGAACAAGAACTCGCAGAAGAAGCTGCTGGACATCATCGAGCACGTCACCGAGCAGCTGCGCTTCGTCGAGGCCGCGCCCAGCGTCCAGTTCTCCACCATCCCGCCCGACCTGGGCCCCATCCGGGACGAGGTCGAGGCGCGGATAAAGGAGGAGGTCGACGAGAAGGACGAGCTAGGGCGGAGGCTCCGAGAGGAGGCGATGGGCGAGCCTATGGAGCTGTAATAATGTCTATTGCCAGAGGAGGGACGCAGATACACTATACCCGTATGGTTTTTGGGAGGGATGTGCAGGAGACCCGGGCGCGGCGTGGCAAGACACGTCTCGGTGGACTGGCGAGGCGGAGAGGTGTGGCGAGGAGGTGTCGATTTGCACGGATACCCCGCGGCCGGCAAGCGTCTCGCGGCGCTGGCGCTCGCAACGATCCTATCTACCCTGTCCGAGGACCCCCCTCGTGCTGATGGAAACGAGGCGGTGTCGCGTCGATATCGAAACTCCCCCGAGGGGGCCATGTGTATAGAAACGTAAAAAGGGGGGGGGGAAACGTCGAACTAATGAAAGAAAAAAATTTTGAACACAAGTATGAATCATTTTTACCTCCGTACAACGAAGCGTGCGAACACGAAGACACGAGGAGTTTAGGGAGGGCTAACTGGAGAATTCGCCACATAGCCGAATGCCGTGGGGATAGTAACTAAGGGGAGGAAGACCTTGCGACGTAGATATACGCTGCGCTCACACACATACAGGAGAAATCTATCCGTCCTATACCGCGAACGCCTGAGACCAACTCGACGACGTAACTAGCAGGAGGGTGTTATGCGGGACACACACCGTAGTGCGGAATCGCTGCGTCGGCTTGACAAGCGACCGGGTGCTTATTCGGCCAGATTTGTCGTCGAAGGTCCAGCAAGGGATACGCTCTAGACGCACCCATGCGCCACCCAACCAGCCAGCCACCTGTCTACCCGGCGCCGCGCGCCCATCGCATGCCGGCGCGTGGAGGCGTGTCTGTCTAATCGGTCTGACCTCTGCTTCTCCGCGCGTTACCGCCATCATGTGCCCTCCCCGTTCTTCTCTCGCCCCCTCCCGTAGAGACGCGAGGACCGCCCTCTACTCCTTCGCAGCCGCCAGGGCGCCGGCGTTCGCCTCGTCGGCGCGCTGGCAGCACGCCTCGACCTCGCGCCAGAAGCGCGGGATGTCGAGGCCGCGGGGGATGCGGACGCCGGGGACGCCGGGGGGCAGGGGGCGGACGAGCGTGCGGCCGGTCTGGGCGCCGCGGTCGCGCGCGTCCTCGAGCGTGCCCTCCGTCACCACCTCGACGGCGAAGCGCTCGCGCGCGTCCGCCCGCGCCGCGTCGTCGTAGTCGTAGAACGGGATCTCGTGGTCCGTGCCGACCAGCACCGCCGCCACCGCCAGCGGGTCGTGCAGCGGCGGTCCTTCCGTGATGCCGAATACGTCGCTGCGAGAGAGCGAGAGAGAGAGCGGGGTTAGGCGGTTGGCTTGCTTACGGCGGGGAGGGAAGAGGGGAGAAAGGGAGAGCGGTGGGAGCGAAAGGGGGGAGGGGAGGGGAGGTGGAGATGACTTGCCGGTATGTGGTAGCAAAAAAATTCAACAACTCCACCAGCATCACCCTCAGATCCGACTTGCCTCTGCCCTCGCGCGGGTGGCCTTTGCCGCTCTCTCCGTCGTCCGGCGGCCCGTACAGTAGCAGGTCCTGGACGTCCTTGGTAGCGAGCACGAGATGCGTCAGGTCGAGGGGGACGAGCGTTGTCTTGGGGGCGAGCAGGGGGTCCTGCAGCACGGCGGCGGCGGCCTCGGGGTCGATGAGCACGTTGAACTCGGCCCAGGGGGTGTAGTTGCCGATGCGCGAGACGCCGTCGACGGTGCCCATGACGGCGTCGGTGAAGCCGCCGCCAACGCTGCCGCCCATCGCGCTGACGCCGGCGAGGTGCGCCCGCAGGTCCGGGTGCGCGGCGAACAGCGCGGCGACGTTGGTCAGCGCGCCCGTCGCGGCCACCCAGGCGGTGCCCGGCGCGCAGGACCGCAGGGCGGCGGCGGCGGCGTCGACGGCGCTCGCGTCGGTCGCGGCGGCCGACCGCGGCGCCGGCAGCAGCTCCGTCCCGTCGAGCCCCGACTCGCCGTGGATGTCGACGGCGTGCACGGGCTGCCGCAGCAGCGCCCTCGCCGCGCCCGGGTACACGGCGACGTCGCGGTCCTTGCCGATAGCGGCGAGGATCGACAGCGCGTTGCGCGTCGTCTGGTCGAGCGAGGCGTTGCCGTGCACCGTGCTGATGCCGAGCAACCGGATGCCCGGGTGGTAGGCGGCGAGCAGGATGGCGAAGACGTCCTGTGGTGCGTAGCGTGTTAGACGAGACGGGTAGGTAAGGTCTTGGGCGTCTTGCTAGGTGAGAGCCTCTGCCAGGTTTATACCCGGAAACGAACGCGTATGAGCCGTCTATGCTAGAGTGTGGGTTGCAGCAGAGCATAGCTGTATCCTCTTCCAGGTGTCTGTCGGGCTCGAGTCCGCCTGCGGAGCCGCCCAGTCCCCAACCCCGCGCTGCCGGCCCGCCGGCCAAGCCATGATAGCATGGCAACGGCTCCGGGTGGAAGCGTGTCGTCCACCATCTTGTTTTTCTAGATCGGTCGGACCATTCGGCAGCAAAGGATGAAATTCGAACTCACATCATGGCCCGGATCACAGTCCAGCCATAGCGGGACGGGCTCGGACATGTCGAAGAAGCTCTGACCTGAGGATCGCGCAGGCACGGCGATGGTATGGTACGTAGGGATCGCAGAGATATCTGTTCTATTACTGTAGATACTGTTCGTCTTGTTTTTCTCGATTTCTTGTTTCTTTCTGTATTCGTGGTTGTGTAGTTGCAAGTCGCAAGTTAAGGATGAGGTTGTTGTTTGGGGAGGAGAGCAGATAAATGCCTGTAACCAGGGAGTTTCGGGTACCTGTGGTGGTAGGCTGGCCGGGTACCTCCTAGTGTAACGATGGATGTATGTACATCTCTGTGGGACTTCGGGTGGGAAAATCAGGGAGAAATTGTACCTATATACGGGTCTATTCACACCGCACCCTCCCCCTATTTGACTACGATATAGGCAAATGGGGTATGACACTTCACGATGCAAAGGTCCCTCTTCTATTGCCTCTTACTCATAATTATTATTCAGTATTCTATCATTCGGCCGCCCGTCGCTTCTCCACCACGCGTAGAACATCCGCCACGTTGTTGACGTCTCCCTTTCTCTTCTTAGGGCCCCTCTTGCGCTTAGAGCCTCCTCCTCCTCCCCTCCCACGGTCGGTATCGCCGTCCTCACCTCCCCATTCCGATAGTTTGACCTTGCTCTCCTCAAAGTCCTCTTCATCTTCGAAGCGGCTAGTGCCAAACCCGAGGTCCATATCCTCCGCATCGCGGTCGTCGTTCTGCAGCATCTTCTTGAGGCGCTCTGCCTTGGCTTTAGCCGCCTCATCCTCCTCCTCCGTGAGTTTAGATATGGGGTTGAGAGACGCCGCTTTCTTGAGGGCAGCCTGTATTGCCGGGTCGGACATCGAGGGAGCTTTAAGTGATTCCGATGATACGAGCGCCGTCTTCGAGTCTTTGAAGTAGTTCCGTGGCTCTGCCGTAGTAGCTGGTCGAGGTGGAGGGGGCATGGCAACTTTGTCCTCCTTCGTAGCATCAGATGGTCCCACTTTCCGGGTGGAGTCTTCGTCGTCGTCGGACACCTCCTCATCTAGATCCGCAAGAGGGTCGTAGTCGTCGCCAACATCATCGAATATATTGACGTCCTCGTCTTCTGGCTCCGCTGCCTTTCTTCTGTAAGGTTCTGGGATTTCCATACCAAGGGGCTTGGCATCCTTATCCGGCATCATTAAATCCCTCTTCGCCTTCGCTGATGTCTCCTCCGCTGTCGGCTCTATCTTCCGCACTTTACGCTTCTCGTGGCCGTTCTCGTCTACAATGATTAACACCTCTCTACCCTTACCGTCTCGCTCAATCCTTGTTGTGGGGGCCTTCGCGCCAATCTTTTTGAACCTAGACCCTAAACCGGTATCCTCTTTAACTTTTGCGGCCTCTCTCGCTGCTTTCATCTCGGCTAGGATTTGATCTCTCGTTCGCTTCTTGGATGGATTCAGAGGCGCGGTCGAGAGCTGCCCCTTCTTCGCCGCTTTCTCTCTCGCGACCGCATCGACTTCTTTCTCCTCTAACCGGTCGAACTCGCCGTCGATGTCGTCTTCCGGCTCGGATATGTCCTCCTTCGACTTCCCACTCTCGTCGTAGACATCTTCGCCCTTTCGGATTCGCTCGAGCAGCTTGAAGTCCAGGCCCTTCACGAGGTGGGTACTTGACAAGTCGCCGCCGGCAATCTGGCTTTGAAGCCTATCGAAGGTCTCCCGATCGATCTCTTCTTTTTTGAGGGACTCCTCTAGTGCCTTTATCCTAGCGGCTCGTTCATCCTCTTCTTCTGAGACTCTGCTCTGCGCACGGTCCACGTAGCCCTCTGCTAGCTTACTGCCCTTCGGGGCGTAGGATTTGTACTTCTTAGACTGTGGTTGTTCCTTGTCTTCTCGATTCCGTTCGGCTAGTTGTCGCGCAAAATCGGATTGATGGAGACTGGTCACTGAGCGTCTGAATTAGTCAACAATATGTGCAGCATGAACTGGGGATAGAAATCGACATACGGTGTCATCGGAATGCTAGACCTCTGTCTAGATCCGAGCGACACTGCCCGGGAAGCGGCTGCGCTTGGAGAGCCATTGGTGTCGTTGGAGGGTTTGGGGGTGTTCGCAGCGACGAGGCGACGAAATTGCTCGTTATTCATCTTTGCGACCTCGCAGCGAACTTGTCGCGTTGACTTGACGATAGCGTCTTGTGTCAAGGTTATGCGATCTTGCCGGGGGTTGGAGTTGGGAAATAGTTGGATCGTTGTCGAAGCTTGCGGATTGCCTCAGGTACATTACCTAGTAACGTGTGGCTGGCGACTCGCATCAATAAAGAATATGTGGCTTAGGTGACATGTATATCTGCATATATCAGGTATATCAGGTACTTAGGTACCAGCTCCTTTAAGTGGCTGCGTCTGGTCACGGGATGACGTGAGGATGCTTCGCGTCTTATCAATAGAACCAACTCGCTCATCATCCCGAACGCGCCTTTTCCTCCTGCCCACCTGTATGTAGGCATCTGGAATAGGGACGGGACCGAGCCCTCGTATCGACATATTTGTTCGTGACAATACGCAGGTCTCCTTTTTGAGAATTTAGGGAATACGCAGATTATGGGTTCCTCGCCCCGCCCTAAAGCTGCGACGACGACGGCATCACTTCCAAGATGATCCCGCACCGACAGGTCGCTACGGGCAATCGAATAGATCTTTGAGAACTAGAGACGACCTTATTTCGGATTGAGCTCACGTCGAAGTCAACATGGCAAATCGTCTAGACACCAATTCGAATGCCGTGCGGAAACGCATAGAGAGCCATTCCTTTTCCGATGAGACCGGCGAAGAGTATGAGCCCAGCGCCTTTGGAGGCTTTGGCGACTACTTTCGTCGGAAGAAGATCAAATTGCAAAATCTTGACTCTGAACTGCGAGCTTCATCGACAGACAAACCCCAAATCTTCAAGGGCGTCGTCGCGCATATTATGGGCTATACGCAGCCACCCCTCCACGTCCTACACCGCGATCTGGTTCAGCATGGCGCAGGGTTTCTTCAATACTTGGACTCGAAGACCATGGCAACGCACATCATAGCGTCCAGCCTACCGCCGAAAAAGATGGTGGATTTCGGTAAATACAGAATCGTGAAGCCTGCATGGGTTGTAGATTCTATCCAAGCTGGGAAACTTCTTCCATGGTCGGAATATCGTGTGATAGAGGAGACGCCTAGACAGAAAACCTTGAGGCTAGACGGAAGCTCGATTTCTACTCAGAAAAATACGCAAAAGTCGCCTTTGGCAGGGTATCGAGAACAGACCCAGAGTAGTTTCTATACAAGCCAGTTCAAGAATGCCACGCCACCATTTGTCGAACGGAACCCTGCTCAAGATAACTCGCCTAGTCAGTCGAGGTGGTTCCTGCGGAACACCGATGCTATCGAGGCTGAAACTACAGAACAACCTCCTGCGCCTTCGTTGATATTCCGGGAGCCACGGGAGACCCCCGATATCCCCAACAAGTCAGACATGTCCTCAAAATCGACTATTGACCCCATAGAAGCCCCACTAGATAGGCCTATTGATCGATTACACCCCGAGGATGCGGATGAAATAGGGGAGGAAGCCCGGCCAGGGTCGTCTGTCGAACAGGGAAAACCGATGACGTCGGAGGAACACAACGCATTGCTCCTCCAGGACCCCAGGAACAGAAAAACCTCTACCGCGAACCCGGGCTTCATACAGCAGTACTACTCTGAGAGCAGGCTTCACCACTTATCGACATGGAAAGCCGAGCTGAAGTCGCGTATGCAAAAGCTTGCGGCCGAGAAGGGCAGCGAAAGGAAACCGACGAAGAGAAAACCGGGGGCGAGGCGGTATATAATGCACGTCGACTTCGATAGCTTTTTTTGCGCCGTCTCGCTAAAAAGCGCCCCAGAATTTGTCAAGAAGCCAGCCGTCGTCGCCCACGGCACCGGGACAGGGTCGGAAATTGCGAGTTGCAATTACCCGGCAAGGGAATTTGGTGTCAAAAATGGCATGTGGATGAAGAGAGCGAAGGAGTTATGTCCCGAACTCAAAGTGCTCCCGTACGATTTTCCAGCCTACGAGGAAGCCAGCAAATTATTCTATGAGAGCATCTTAGAAGTAGGCGGTGTCGTTCAGAGCGTCAGCATCGATGAAGCTCTTATCGACGTCACCTCGATCGTGCTCTCCGCAGCTGGATCGGACGGCTCCGGAGTCGAGGAAGGCAGTATATGGAGAGAGCAGGAGAAGGCGAACCAGATGGCGTCTTCATTGCGGGATCAGGTTAAGAAAAGGACGGGATGTGCCGTCTCCGTCGGAATCGGCGGCAATATTCTGTTAGCAAAAGTTGCCCTTCGGAAAGCCAAACCCGCTGGCCAGTACCAGATCAAACCGGAAGATGTATTGAGCTTTCTCGGAGAGCTGAAGGTCGATAGCCTTCCCGGAGTCGCGTACAGCATTGCTGGCAAGCTAGAAGAAATCGGAGTATCGTATGTAAACGACGTCCGTCAGACTTCCAAGGAGCGCCTAGTCACCCTTCTCGGCCCCAAGACGGGCGAGAAACTCTGGGAGTACGCGCGCGGCATCGACCGGGCAGAAGTCGGCGAACAACCGATACGCAAGTCCGTCTCGGCCGAAGTCAACTGGGGCATCCGGTTTATCAGCCAGGACGAAGCCGAGGAATTCGTGCTCAACCTATGCAAGGAGTTGGAGAAGCGCCTCCTCAACGAGCAGGTCAAGGGGTCCCAGCTTACGATGAAAATCATGCGACGTTCGGTCGACGCCCCCCTCGACCCGCCAAAGCACCTAGGCCATGGAAAATGCGACACCTTCAACAAGAGCGTCACGTTTGGCGTCGCGACCCACGACTTCCAAGTGCTGGGGAAGGAGGCTGTCTCGATCCTCCGTTCCTACAAGTTTAGCCCCGGCGACCTTCGCGGCCTAGGCGTACAGCTAACAAAACTAGAGCCGATCAAGGCCTCGCTATCCGGCGCCGAAGGAAGCCAAAAGAGGCTGAGCTTCGGCGCCTTTCGCACTCCTAACTCGGCACGTAAGTCGACTCTGGAGCCGATACAGAATGGCGATAGCTCCGACGCGACGAGCGCGAGGCACAGGAGGGGCGAGCTAGGCGACCCCATCACCGAGAGCCCGCTAACCCCGCGAAAACGCAAATCGGACGTATATCACCCGGCGTTTGCGATATCGCGGGCGAGTGAGGCGGATTCCAGAGCCAACACGCCCCTGAACATCAGCGGGACCCAGTTCATCATGCCGTCCAATCCGGACCTCGCCGTGGTCGCGGAGCTCCCTCCCGACATCCGGAGCCGACTCATGGCCCAGGGCAGCAAGGCCTCCTCCTCTCGCGGCGACGACTCGCCAGCGGCCAGATCGAGGGCGCAGAGCCCGTCCGCAAACGAGGAGGAGGAGATACCGCCCGAGGTCGACCCAGAGGTATTCAACGCCCTGCCCGAGGACGTCAAGGCGGAGGTCCTGGAGGCCTACAAACCGCGGGGGAACAAGACCACAACAGCACCGCCGCCGCCGCCGCCACCACCACCACCAAGCCCCCCAAAGCGCCGCATCCCCAGCCTATTCGCGCGCGCGCGCGAGCGCCCAACCTCAGGCGACGCGGGCGGCTCCAGGACGGTCCAGACGAGCCTGCTGCTCCCGACGAGGCAGCAACAACTACAGCTCCAAGCCGGCGGCGGCGGCGGCGGCGGAGATTTCTTCCCGGAGGAAGACTCGGAGATCGACCCGGCATTCCTCGCGGAGCTCCCGGAGGACGTCCGGCGCGAAGTGCTGCAGGACCAGCGCCGGCGCCGCGCGCGGAAGCGCCGCCGGCCGGGGGAGGCGGATGCCGCCGCCGCCGCCGCGTCGAACGGGCAGCAGCAGCAGCGGCGGCGGCTGCGCTTCGCGGTCGGCCCGCGGCCCGCGCTGGTCCCCTTCCCGCTCGCCTCCCCAGCCCCCGACGGGCCCCCTCCGACGTCGCTGCCCGCGGTCCGCGACGCGCTGAGCGCGTGGTTCCGCCGCCACCGCTCCGCCGGAGCGGCCCCCCGCGGCGGAGACGCCGACGCCCTCGCGCTGTACCTCGCGCGCGTCGTCCGCGACGAGCGCGACGTCGATAAGGCGGTCAAGCTGGTGCGGTGGCTCGAGTACCTCGTCGGCGACGACGACGACGACGACGACGGCCGCAGCTCCGATGCTAGTAGAATAGGAGGCGCGGGCGAGGACGAGGAGGGAGAGAGCGGAGGCGGGGTGAGAGGAGAAGGCAAAGCGAGGGCGGAAGAGAGCGAGGCCTGGGCCGACGTCCTAACCCGCCTCAAGCAGGCGGTCCAGGACGCGGTGCGGGAGAGGGGCCTGGGGCCCCTGAGTATGTAGCTGGGAGCGATGAGACCCATTCGCGATAGTTACGACGATAACGACGAAGGATACGATAGTGAAGATGGCGGGTACGTGGCGACGAATGAACAAGTAAAGATGCATTAAAGACCCGTCTCCATGTGTCCCCCTATTCATCCTGCCATCCATACACACCCATCACGACAGTTACACACCCGCAAATCAACTTACCCTCTCTACTTTCCTAGTCAGCACCTTTAGCCCCTCGCATGTCACTTGAAACAGCACTCTCAACAGCTCCGCTGGAATCCCGAGACGTTTTCTATCAATCTACACATCTAACGCTTCAGTCAACGATACGTGAGCAAGTAGCCCCAGCTAACCCGATAAAAACACCAACCCGCACGCACGCTCCGGCTGGGCAACCGCCAGTCCGCCCAGAAACCGCAGTCTCGACGATGACGCCTTCGTTATTCCTGTTCTTGTTTCTATCCTTATTCGTATCCATAGTCCACGACTCTCCATCCACCGTCCTCCTTTAGCATCGTGTCCCTCCCTCCCTCCCGTGAAACGTGTCCAGCCCCTCTCCGTCTGCGCGCGTGCACGTCTATCCCATTGTCAAACTCCCCTCCACAGCCCGTACGCCCAGAGAGAAAGGAGGGAAGAGAGAGGAAGAACACGCTGTAGCCGCCGGCGCCCCCGCGCCTCCGTCACGGTGGTGAAGGAGTACGTAGAGACAGAAAGAAAGACACTAACTCTTAGAAGGAAAAGGAAAGGGGAAGTGCTCCGTGAGGTGCATCCCCCCCTTTCGCCGCCCCCTCTTCCGTCTAGGTTCGCCTGACCTATAGACACCAGAAGAGGGTTATGAAGATAAGGTTCAGCAGGAGGAGGAAGGTGTTGATGCCCTGGAGGACGGCATCGGAGGAAAAGTCGGGGCCCTTGCCGCCTTGACTGCCTTTGCTGCCTTTGCCATCGCCGCTGTGGGTGCTATTCTTGGGGTCCGATGGCTCCTGCGGCGTGTTCTGGGTGAGGTTGTAGACCGAGAGCGCGAGCGGCCCGCCGCACGCGGTGCGGTTGTCGCCCTCGCACGGGTGCTGACACGCCGAGTCCGCCAGGCTGATGCTGCTGTGCGACAGCTCGTCCGAGCACCAGCACTCGTGCGACCACTCTACCCCCGCGTACCGGAACCCGCGGCTGCTCCCGTTGAGCCGCCGGGCCGTGTAGCAGAAGTTCAGGCACATCGGTACCGTCAAGGCGTTTCGTGCTATCACTGCCGTAAGGGGGAGGAGGGGCAGGTTAGCTTCCCGATGGCAGTTCACGGTGGTTAGGGACGGGACAGCGAAGAGGGGGGGATATGAGGTAGGTAGGTAAGGTGTATGGTGGACTGGAGTGGGTGGCCGGCCAGCCCTAGTAACAGCCCCCCTTCCACCAACCCCTACTTAGGGTGCCCTAGCAGCAGCTGTAGGCCGTATACGGGGGTTGAGAAGGATGATCAAGAACATGTACTCACTGTTGGCACCGTTGGCAAGCGTGTGGGAGAAATCCGGCGGATATGAAAAGGCCTCGGACCAGCACCCAGCATACTTGTAAAATGGGTCGTCGTTGGGGATTGTAGGGTGCTTTGTGTTCAGGCTTTCGGGATGAGTGCCGGTGGCTGTGCCGTTGCCGACGAAGGGGATGGTAGGAGTGCCGAGAAGGCCTCTAGGCGGCTCATGCCCACCATAGTGCCCGTCCCGCCGCGGCTGCGGGTGGCTGAGAGCAGCTGGGATCACAGCGATCAAGGCCAAGGCTACTTTACGAATAGAAGGTGTACTGCGCGCCATGGCTGCTGTAGTCTAGAGAGAACGCGTAATTAGCCAGGCTGTCCACGAAGCAAGATCACAGCTTTTCCGGGGTGGCGAGGCGAGGCAGTCCGTCATCTCTCGCTTACACAGTATTATGTGCCAAAGTAATCCGAGTAGGATTAGGAGGAGGACTGCAACGAACGTCAGTGACGTACCTTGGACCTCGGGAGTCTGCTGTCTCTGAGGTATGTTATGTGGGTGTTCCAGGGCCGATATTCTCTCCCTACGAGATCTTGTCTCTGCTCGGTCTAATCCGGGAGATGGATACAGGCGCAGAAGAGCAATACCGACGTCCTGGTATGAAATTCTCACGGCAAGACAAAACTCGGGGCCCAAAAATGTCGTGGTATGTGTAGTGGAAAACGATGAAAACAGTGTGGTTAATGGTTCACAATGCTTGATCTCGATGACAAGGAGGAGAAGAGGAGAAGATCTGATGGAATTTCCGCGGACCAGAAGGACAGAAATAGGCTGAGGGATAGACGCCTGGCTAGTTTCCTGAGAGCAGCAGCAACCGGCTCGTGATAAAGGGGGGGCGGAAGGTAGGTATAGAGGGTAAGGCACGCCCTACGAGGCGAGGAAATAGGGATCGTTTCTCTCACACCCATCACTATCACACCTTCGCTCCGGGGAGGCTTCAGGCCAGGCGTCTACGGGTACACTACCTAGGTAGGTACCTGATATATGCTGCGTCCAAGACGTGAAGATGCATATGTGCCTATTCTTGAACGCATGAGAGGGGACATTCCGTATTTCCTCGGCCTGTTTACTTAACCCCCTTTACCTACTTGTTATTTTTCGTCCATTTTGTTTCCATTTTAGGTTGGAAGTTGTAGCCGCACCATTCTGCGCCATCGATGCTGACCGGACTATATCGATGCTTCGGCCAAGCACGAGTCCACTTCGAAAGGGAGGAATTGCTACTACGGGGACTCCTCAAAAGGCCCCTTACAGCCACGGGTTCACCCGTAGTCGTAGATCTTCCAATACCCTCTCGGCGCTTGTCGTGATACGCCTTTTGGGGCCATCCGCGGCCTGATTAGGTACCTAGAGGTAGGCAGGCGGTTCCCTAGGTAGGTTCTTCGGTGGAGCTACCTCCCTACACAAGCCGGGTAGGTATCCCTTAGTTGAGTTGATACGGCCTGCCTTACGGAACCTGTTCATCCCAGGGCGCTACAGGTGCGAGCCACGAGATAGGTGCGGACTGTGCGCTTTAGGAGAAGCAGGGACATGTTCGCATAACAGCGAAGTAGTGCTTTATGGTATCGGTGGGTATCACGCTGTCGTACGTCTACTGCGGGTTATATGGACTACCTGCCTACCTACCTAGGTAGGTACCTAGGAGGTTGTCCGTCGATCCCCTTCTATGCAACAAGATTTAGAATGTCTAATTACCTAGCCCTGGAAGTCGTCTTTGGTGACCCAGCTTCCCACTAGCGACATCGCCTTCTCGTCCCCGTTTATCAGACGCTCGTCTTGCAGCGTGTCCGAGAGGCATCTCCAAGGGTCTCGGCTCCCGCCCCACTTGAGCAGGCTCTCCTTCAGCCTCTCGCCGTTCGCCCGGTCGATAGCGGCGCCGTTCTGGCCGGCTGAGAATACGACCTGCCAGACGCGCCTGGAGAGCACCAGGTCGAAGAGGTAGCTATAATATGTGCTGCCGTAGCCGAACAGGTGGCCGAAGAATCCTTGAAACTTCGTGCCGGGCGGATCTGGAGGGAGCTTTCCAAACTCCCTCTGCAGGCCCAGATACATCTCGGTCGAGTCGATATCGTCCTCACCCGGTTGCAACGAATGGTACTTCTGGTCTAGCATGGCTAATAGAATCTGATTTTCTCTCTCCGAAGCCTCGAACCGCCGAGAGACGTGAAGCCTGTCCACGACCATCTCGTACGGCAGAGGCGCATCCGTAGAATAGTGTCGCGCAAACAGCCCGAGAACGGACGGGTCTGCGCAGAAGTTCTCCATCAGAGTCGACGGGAGCTCTGCGAAGTCGGTGGCGCATCGAGTTCCCGCTACATTTTGCAGGGATGTTCGAGCCAGGGTCGAGTGGATGGCATGTCCCATCTCGTGAAAAAGCGTCTCGACTTGGTGGTAATCTAGAAGTGCGGGCTCGTTTCGTTGGCGCTTCTGTTCGAAATCACAGATCAGCGCGATCGTCGGCAGCTGTTTTATAGAGCCGGGCTGCTGCGATACGCCCATCCCGTCGTTCGCCGCATCGATAGGCGATTCGAAATCGGGTAGCCCTGGAGCCTTGACGTGATACTGTTCCGCCGCTTTCTCCATCTCGGCCTCCGATATTTCTCGAGAGCAGCGCACGGTGAAATGCGCTGGATTGGGAGACTTGTCATGCCGGTAGAAGAGATCGCAGTAGAGGACGGCTACATGCCCGTCGGTATCAGACACGACGTCGAGTCGCCTCACGTCCGGATGCCACGTCTCTCCCGGTAGGGTGTCCCGGGGGACAAACCGGATCCCGTACAAGCGAGTGAATAGCCTCGATAAGCCCTGCATCACAGTCCCGAGCGAGAAATAGGCGGACAAACGATCGTCGTACTTCCGTCGCGACCTCATCCCTCTGCGTATCGATTCCATATAAAAATCCTTATCCCACGGCTGCAGATCGACGGCCTTATTTTGATGTCTGGCGCTCTTCTCGCGAATAAGGCCTGCTACCTCTTCTTCTACGAGGGGTGCATTATGTTTGGACAGAGCTAGGAGGAACTGATTGACGGACTCGGGGGTCTTTGCCATCATTTTATCCTGGAGCGCCATGTGCGCATAGCTCGCAAAACCCGACAGCTTCGCCAGTTCAGCCCGCGACTTCAACAACGTCTCCAGAAGTTGGATTGCTTCGCTCGAGGCCGTTCGGGTGGCACAGTAGATCTCCCTCCTCGCGTCCTCGTCGTAGACGGTTCTTAACGCCGCGGTGGCTTCGGAAGATAGCGTCGGGATCCGAACCAGGCCCCGAATCGTATTCTTCTTCACCAGCGTCGGATCCATGCCGAATAACTGGCTGCTCGGGAATTCGAGGTATCTCCGTTCCGGATGCATCTCTTGAACGAAAGTCGAGCCCAGCTCGCTGATACGCTGGGATATGCTGACGAAGCGATCCCGCGATTCCTTCGGGAGGTGTATCGCCGACTTCATGAAGTCCTGCTGCAGCAGCGTAGCCACGGTCTGCTCCTCCTCGTTCCAGCTAGCCATGACATCGGGGTTTGCCAGGGCTTTCCCCAGCTGGTCGCTCAAGCCAGTGGTGGTATTGAGTTCGTTCATGTACTGGTAGACCATCGACCAGGCCTGCGACGCGGCCGCCTGCATTTCCTCGTCGGGGTGAGTGACCCGGACGAAGTCGGAGACATCCAGGACGCGGCAAAGCAGGTCGCTCAGCCTGTCCATATCACGGACGAGGGCCTTGTAGTCCTCTAGGGTCGACGCGGCCAGAACCTTGTCCACCACGTACTGGGCCTTGATTATGGTGACATGGGCAAAAACAAGGAAGCCCCGCGGCGAGGTCAGGTATCTGTTCCTGAATAAGCCGACATTTCCGCGAGCTCCGAACAGGGTCTTGCCAAAGGAATCGAAGGTGGGCGGCGAGTCGAATATCTGGCGCAGTAGGGTGTCTTCGTGCTTGCGGTCGGCAGGAGAATGGTCGACGGGGGTCTGCGAAGCATCAGAGAAAGCAGCCCCGGGAACGGAAGAGAGCGAGCGTTTCGGAGGGCCTCGTGCTCTCGGGGTTTGACGGAGACATCTTGAGCAGGTCCACAGACCCGATCGAATGGCCTTAATCATAATGCGATCATAATTCGCCGATCGTGGGAAGCAGCCCTGGGGAGGACCGGACGAGGAGAGCCCTGGACTGCTTCGACGAATATCCTAGGGAGGAAAAAGGCGCGAATTTGTTGAGGTTGATGGGTTGAGTTGTGTTCCGAAGCTGGTTGGTATGTAAGAAGTTAACCTGTAGTGGGTAGGGTAGCTATTAGGTAAGGAAGAGGGTACTGCATACCGAAGATAGCAGAGCTACAGATACCTATCTGCCAGGGGGTATGTGCCTAAGGAAGTAGGTTAGGGTACCTAAGGAAGCGCTAATAGCAGGCAGTCGAATACCCCGATAGGCGGCCGATCCACTGCAAATGCATGCCCTGGACCGGTGCAGCCACGCGAGGCGCTCGGCGTTACTTCGCACTACGAGTAAACCCTTGTGCGGAAGCATGTATCTCAGGCAGCTGAGGCCCAGGCCGGAAACCGCCGCGAAAATTTGAACAATTCGAGCCGGGCCCCGGTATTTTCAAGGCCGGCATCAGTATGTGCATAACTGTACCCACGTACCATTACTGCATCATTCCATAACCCGGGCAGTTTTGGTGTGAGCTCCCAAATTCCATCCGTGAACAACCCCCAGCACCACCACCACAACCTGCAATTGGGCCCAACATGGCCGCCAGAGTGCTGCTGCGACGGGTGGGTTCTGCTCCCAGACGAACAATTTCGCCGCCACAATGCTGACAATCATAGCGTGTCGCCGCGCCTTTCACAGCCGCGGCTCTGGTCGGGGCCGCTTTATTTCCCTCGGTTGCCCTGGCCGAGGCGCCCCCGTCACAAGACCACCACGTACGACGCCCTGCCCCTCCCCGCATCCGTTCAGAGTAAAGAAGCGCCAGTCTTGCTGATGTCCTGCGTCCTGGCGCCAGTATACCTCTAAGAAGAAGCCCATCTACGACGACTACGAGCAGTTCCCGCGGCCCAAATTCAACAGCAGCAGCAGCAGCGCCGGCAGCACTCTCAGCGGCAGCACGCTCGTCTCGGAGCCCGCGTCGGACAGCGCCAAATCGCCCGAGTCCCCGGTAGAAAAGCTGGAGCAGCAAGATCAGCAGCAGCAGCAGCCGGACGAAGAGGACGAGGGGGGGAGGCACCACCACCACCACCACCACAGCCCGTCGCCGACGGACCGGCTGGCGGCGCAGATCGGGCGGGCGCGGCTGTTCCTGCACGGGTACGCGGCGGCAGCGGAGGACGGGGTGAACGCGGCGGCGGACCGGGCGTTCCGGCTAGAGCGGTCGCTGACGGAGACGGTGGCGTCGCTGGCGCCGGCGCGGGACAGCGGCGAGACGCTGATGCCGGGGCTCGTGTACGTGCTGGTGGCGGGGATGGCGGGCAGCATCGCGGCGCGCAACCGCGGGCTGGCGCTGCGCGCCGCCGCGCCGCTCGCCCTCGGCCTCGGCGCCGCGCGCCTGCTGCTCCCCGTCACCACCGCCAACGTCGCCGACCTCGCCTGGCGCTACGAGCAGCGCCTCCCCGCCCTCGCCGCCGCCCACGCCCGCGCCGACGACCGCGTCCGCGCCGCCTGGCGCTTCCTCGTCGTCCACGCCGCCGCCTCCCGCCGCTACGTCGACGACCGCGTCGCCGACGCCCGCGACCTCGTCGAGGGCTGGGTCCGCAAGGGGAAATAGAGGAGGGAGATGGAAAGAAAAATAAAAATAAACGAGGAGCAGGTAGATCTGCGGGTAGAGTAAATAAGCAAGTCGGGATGGACAAGGCGAACAAAAGGGAGAAGGGTGCGAGAGGAGGGAGAGCCTCGCCAAATCTCCTTGTACAATTATAGAGGCTGAACATAGACGTCCCCTCTAGAAAATCTAGAAAAGAACACACCGGAATTTCCGCTTCGCGTAAAGACACAGGAAGCGTTGTTCGCGACCCCGGCTCCCCGGGTTGTGGACCAGCGTACCGGCTCCGCCGACGGTTGCCAAATGCCTCGGAATGGCATGCCTAAATGGCGAGCACCTACGAATGTCACGGGCCACAGCTAGCAACGTGTTGAGTTGCACCTTGAGTATATTACCGCCCGCGAGGGGCCCAACTAATGCGTGTGGGAGAATACGCCCGGGTCCGACGACCACGTGCACGGCTTTATGCACCAAGCACGCCATGGTCCACCCATCTATCCATCTACGCTACGTCTATGCGGATGAGACGCACCGTCCTACAGGAACAGACCCCGCCCGGGGGGGTACGGTGCGCCGCTAGACCCATTACACATTACCCAGCCGACCTGGCGCGGCCGTCCTTCTATGCCCTGCCCCAGAGGCTCGGGTCGCCGCCCAGGCCCGTGTCGATGAGGAGGCGCAGCGTCCGCTCGTAGGTCCACATGGTGATGGCGGATGCGGGGGCAGCCTTGACGAGACTGATGGTGAGGCCGCGGTAGAGGCCGCGGGGCCCCTCGGCGGCGAGGATGCGGCGGATGGTGGCGACGACGCCGCCAACGTAGGCGGGCGCGTAGCGGCCGTAGACGTAGCGCGCGTGCGTCGGGCCCTGGACCTGCACGCGCTTGCGGACTAGGTCGAGCGGGAACACGGCCGTCTTGGCCGCCACGCCTGCCAGCACGCCCGCTGCCGCGTCCGCCGCCCCCCACGCCTCTGGCAGTGGCGCCACCGACAACGACGCCCGCGTGCTCTCGTATGCGGCGAAGAAGATCCCCATGAACGGCACGATCTGCGCCAGCCCCGCCCCCAGGCCCCGGAAGAACCCCCGCGGCCCCTCGTCTCGCGCGATCTGCCGCACCGCCCCGACTAGCGACGCGTACACGCGCTCGTTGCCCTGCGCCGCGAACCGCGTGCGCAGCAGGTCTAGCGGGTACGTGGCGGCGGTGGCGGCGGCGCCGGCGGTCGCGCCGCTGATGAAGGACTCGACGGCGTGAGGCAGGGGGCGACGGGACGGCACGTCACTGCCGTTGGCGACGTCCTGGATGTGGTGTAGGAAGAGGGTGGTGGAGCGGTAGGCGGTGAACTGGACGGCGGAGTAAGCGACGTAGAGGAGCTCGGCGGGGATGTTGCCCTTCCAGAGAGCGGTGACGCCCTCGCGGGCGACGATCTCGCGGAACATGGCGTAGGTGCCGCGGGGGGGCCCGGCGGCGCCGGCGCCGTGCCGCTGTAGCTGCATGCGGATCTTGACGACGTCGAGGGGCGCGACCACGAAACGGGAGATCAGGCCGGAGGTCGCGCCCGCGGCGACGACCTGGAGTCGGGTACCCTACGTGCCGGCCGTTGGTTAGCGTCGACAGCTCCCACCCCGAAAGCCCCTTATGGGTTTATCTTCAGAAACCGCTTTTCGCCGAGCTGACTAGAACCGCGTCGACTCGACGTGCTGCGACGTACCTCATCCTTCAGGCGCTCACGAGACCCCGACATACATCCGGACCGGCCTCAACTTAACTGGGGGGAGGGGAGGGGTGTGGAGGAACGCGATGTCGACGTCAGATAAGGCACGAGTGAGTGGATAGCCTTCTCCCCCCCCTTTTTTTGTGGTTCTCGCTCGAGAGGCGCGCGCGATGCCGTCGGTAGCCGGCAGCTCGACCAGGCAGAGTTCGGCGCCGTCGTCAGCTTGGCCGGGTCGTGTCAGGATGGATGCAGCCAGAAGCGAAAAGAGGGACCGGGGAGCGCAGCACGTGCCTCCGTCGCGGTGCACTGCGTAGGCGGGCAACACAGAACCGGTGGGCGGTTAAGGGTTGTGTCGGTACAGGACCACAGCGTGGAGGGCGCGTGATGGCGACGAGGTCTGCAATGGAGAATAGCGTGGGCTTTTCGCATAGGTGTCCGGTCCGGAGCGGAAGAAGGGCAGACCTGGTCCATGCATGGGCTTTCTTTCTATTTTCTCTTTTCGGGTTTTTTCTTTCTCCCTCCCTCTCTTTTTTTCTTCTTTTTGCCTCATCGGCGTTCGTTCGCGTCTGACGCCGATCGGAGATTCGGGCGAGTCAAGCTAGGCCAAAACCGTTAGAAGCCCCGACTTCCGGCACGTCAAGCCCAATGACGTAGGCATGCAATTTATCTACTTCGATCTCGTGCGTGTTCCGTGTCTGCGATAGGCCCTAGTAAGCGCGCCGTGAAGCTCGTCAATATGATGAGCTGTCGCCTGCCGCCTCCGCTCTCCGACCCGTGTCTATCGTGGATGCGCCGTGCGATGCGCTTGTTCTTGCTACAAGCAACATAGGAGGCAGGCAATGCTGGCTCGAGGGGACGCCACTTGCGAGCAACCTTCCTCGTCGTAAAATTGACGTTTCATGATCTCTGGTAGGGGCTTGAATTAAGACCGGAGGCAAGTACCCAGGTACCTACCCGGGGTGCCTAACCCCCTGATGTATTGGGTGGGTAGGTACCTAGGTAAGGAGGGAGGTAGGTATGCCTACATTAGGTATGTACGCTGCGATAGTATGGTGTAAGGACGCTGTCGCTCGAAGTCTGGACTCTTCGGCTAGGACGCATCTATCAGCAACGTTCCATCTGGCTCTCCGACGCGAGCGTAAATTGTCATCGTAGTCTTGTCCTGCGCTGGTTGGCCCTCTCTGCCTTGCCTGGCCTCGGTGCCGGCTCGAGTCCACCGCTACCCCCCCCCAATTCCATTTCCCCATATACCGATCTTACCAATCTCCCTGCGCAGCCACACCGTGCTATAGGGAGCAGTGGCCTAGGGGATGGGGAAGACGAATGGGCCGTCAGGTCCTACCCAACCTTGTCGAATGGCTAGAAACCGACCCGGCACCGCTTCAGCGAGGTCGTGTGGCCACCTACTGCGCTATAGGGCTTAGACACACCCCCCTAGCGCCCAATCAAGGACCCGGTCTCGCACATGCGGCTTAGGTAGGTAGTCATCTTACTGTTCCAGCGCCCCATTAGGCCTTGGGCCAGCGACAAAAGGCCGCCTCCTTAGGTAATGGAAGCGGGCCCCCGCCCCCGCCGGATCGGTAATGGCGAACGAGGGAGTGGCCGGAGTTGGCTACGGCGGGTTCGGTGGCACGCTATTGGGCTAGGTAGGGAGGGTAGGGCATGTCGGTAGTCTGAGGTTGTGTGTGTGTGTGTGTGTGTGTGTGTGTGTGTGTGTGTGTGTGTGTGTGTGTGTGTTATATGCGTGTAGGCGTAGGATGTATGAGTAGGAGGTAGCATTGCTAGGCCTGCATTCTTATTCTTAGGTACCTACCACGTACTAAGGTACCTAACGTATAGTGCTATCGAGACAGGCTGCCTTGGGAATCTTCCGCCCGCCCGAGCTACTAGCTCCCATTCGTCCTCCGCCCAGGTTGACAGCGGGGAGTCCCAGTCCGGCAACGCCATTGGGCATTCCCCCGTTGCCCCGTCTCCACACGAGCACCCCCCTTCTCCGGTACGTACCCATCCCATGTACGAAGCTAGGCGGGTGCATGCATAGCAATGGCCTATCCTTACTTGTGCTCCGACGGGCCACACACAGATTGCCTTCATCCGCACGCTGGGAAACCAGCAAGCTCCCTTTCCCCTCAGGTGGCCATCCTCCTTTTAATCCCACGAGGTGTTCCTTTTTCTTCTCTTCTGTTCTTCCTCTCTCTTGTGGCCTTGTGATATTTCCTTCCGGCCTATCTTCCGGTTTAACTTGCCTGCGTAGCTGATCCGTCCTCTCTTCGCCAACGTGGGAAATCCGCACAGCCGGTGCTTTGTTCACGTCAGCCACGCATTCTCCAGTCAGGATCACCTGCCTCATTCTCGACGGCGTGCATGTGATACGGGCAGGATCCCATCCATCCACGGGTCTGAAATACGGAGATTCCACCGCATCTCTCGTCGCCACCTCGAGCAAACAAGACACACCCAGAGCAAACCAGCAATCATGACGGCCTCGACCATTAGACAGCCAGACGCCCAACAGGTCCTGGGACCTCTCTTGCCCACCCTCCCAGCCGCTGCGCTATCGACGGAGCCGACTGACAAGGTCTTGCCTCTCCTCTCTCCCATTTTAAGACAGCGAGTTCAGCTTCTGTCTTCGTCCAGCCAGGAGCCGTGGATTCGATTATTATGTTATGAGCCAGCCAAAGTCGCCAGGTTGGTGGAGATCGCCCAGAGCGACCGGCTACATCCCCATCCCGTGTCCGGCGAGGTCGAGGTCGACTGGGACTACGACGCCGACACCCGCTATCGGCGAGTGGATGAAGAGACCCTCCAGGCGTTGGTAGTCTTAAGAGACATGAACCTGGCTTTTCGTTTGATCTACTGTACCGGTGACCCCGCGGACGATGGCTGGAAAGTGGGCGAAGTCAGCGTTGCCGAGAAGCCATCGCCGTTTTCGTCCTTCGGAGGTGTCTCGAGCATTAACGAGGCCGAGAGGCAATTCCACGAGTCGAAGGCGAGGGGGAAACTGACAACCCGAACCCACGCGCCGGCAGGAGATCGAAGCTTTCTCCGAGAGCAGGAGGAGGAGGATGACGATGACGACGACTACTGGGCTCGGTATGACGCGACGCCGGCTAGGACGCCGGCTGTGAAGAGATCTCCCGCGCCGGAGTTCACCTATGGCAACCGAACGACAGCAGAGGATGACTACTATGCTCAATACGACGATGTGCAGCCCGCGATGGATAACCACGACCCGGACGAGGAGGCCAACCTCGACATAGCGCCGCCTCTAGGCTTAGCCGCGAGACCAAGCAATCCGGCAGCGAGCGGAAGCGAAGAGGAAGACGGTGAACTTAACGAAACCCAGGGCGCATGGACGCTGGCTGAGCCGCCGAGATCGCCTTCCACGCACTCGAGGCGGAACGAAGATGATCCACTCTTGATTCATCCGAGACCAGCTTCGAGCGCCAGTTCCAACGCGTCAGTCGAAAAGCTCGAGGCCGCGGCGGCAAAGCAAGAACTCAACGACTTCGGCGTACAGCAACATGTGTCTCGAAGCATCAAGAGCCTGTACATGCTGTCCCGTGCATCGGGTATCGATCGCGAGGAGTTTGAGCGCTTAGTCAAGACGGAGCTCGACACGCTAGCGCTGATGGAGGACTAAGGCTTGTTTTCCCTCATCTGTTGGTTGGGTTCACGTCCTGCCATATTTATTCAGAGGAATATTAGGAGGGTGAGCCCTTTTTTTTTCCCTGGTTGTTATTAGTGGGCGTTTAACGGCTTTTGACCCGTTGAAAAATGTTGGGGTTCTCCGGTATGCCCCTCCCCAGTTACGACCCGGTCCGGACGGAACTATTCCAGGCTATCTATTGCATGGACACCGGCGTTATGTTTTATGTACGACTAGTCAGCCAGAATACCACCGAGCGTTTGCATTGATCTTAAAAGAGGTTCCAGTTATTCATTGCCAAGCATGTGGGTAGAATTACTAGAGTATATGAGTAGACAGTTGGGTATATAGGTTCGGCGCCATTCAAGCGGGATCTGACCTGATGTATGTACTCACCATTGCCACTAAGCGTATCTGGCGTGTAAGCGGAAGAAAGATGCACGGCGTCTTATTACCTCCCAAGTACCTCTTAAAAATCTCATCTTAAATCAAGGTCGTAAGTTATCTCCAGGAGGGCTACGTGAGGAGATATCTGGGCACCTAGTGCGACTATCGAGGAATGCTGTGGGAAGATCTAACTGATCGTGTCTCAGATGCCTAACTGTATATAACGGAAATATGCACTTATCTGCTCATAGACACCTGTTCAGGTACCTACGTGACCCCGCCATGGGTCAGCCACTCCATTGGCATACCGGGAGTAGCCAAGGTACGGGACCCCACGTCCCTGAAATCGGCTGCGGTCCCTCCTCTCCTTGTGACTCGTTCGTCTCAGGAGATAGTGTGACTCAAAAACCCCCGAAACCTGAAAAAAATAAATAAAATAAAAAACACCAAACCGACGAAGCACGAATAGGAATTGGAAGGGTTGCATACAACTAAATAAATACTCGCAGAGCGCGAAACCAAACTTATCTTCTCGCCCATTTGCACGACCTACCCACAACCTTCCCCGCCCCCCCCCGCACCAGCAGACCCTAAACTATGACTCCCGAGGAGTCCATCGCCCTGATCAAGGCCAACCTGGCCGAGGTCCTTAATCCCGAGATCATCGACGATGTAATCCTGAAGGAGAAGCGGCACTTACGAGTCTACTGGGGCACCGCGACGACGGGGCGGCCGCATTGCGGCTACTTCGTGCCCGTCGTCAAGCTCGCAGAGCTCCTCGCCGCCGGTTGTCATGTCATCATCCTCCTCGCCGACTTACACGCCTACCTCGACAACATGAAGGCGCCGCTGGAGCTGATCGGGCACCGGGTCAAATACTACGAATTCATCGTCAAGGGCCTGCTGAAGGCCGTCAACGTCGACATCTCGAAGCTCACCTTCATCCAGGGAAGCTCCTACCAGACGAGCGAGAAATACACGATGGACCGGTTCAAGCTCGAAGGGATGACCAGGATATCGGTTGCGCAGAAGGCGGGCGCCGAAGTGGTCAAGCAGATGAGCGACCCGTTCCTCGGCGGTCTGTCCTACCCTCTGATGCAGGCGCTGGACGAGGAGTACCTCGACGTCGACGCACAGATCGGCGGCGTCGACCAGCGCAAGATCTTCACCTTCGCCCTGGAAAACCTGCCCAAGATCGGCTACAAGGTCAGGGCCCACCTGATGAACACGATGGTGCCCGGCTTGGGAGAGGCCCAGAAGATGAGCGCCAGCGAGCCGGAGTCGAAGATCGACCTGCTAGACTCCCCCGACCTCGTCGCCAAGAAGTTAAAGAAGGCCGTGTGCGTGCCGAAGAAGCTCGAGGGCAACGGCGTAGTAGCCTTCGTAGAGCACGTGATATTCCGGGTTGTGTCCCTCAAGACGGGGGGGAAGCCTCATTTTACGGTCGAGAGGCGAGACGAAGAACCCCTCGTCTACGACGATATCGAAAAGCTAAAGTCGGACTTTGAGCAGGATATAGTAAGCCCTCCCCCCCTATCTACCTATGCATATGTATATATATACAGGCATGTGTCGTACGCGTATGGCTCACCATATATCTAGCTCACGCCCCAACTTCTAAAGGCGGCCCTAACGAAGGCGCTGAACGAGATCCTCGACCCGATCCGCAACGAGTTCGAAGCATCCGAGGAATGGAAGAAGGTTGCGGAGCTGGCCTATCCGCCGGAAGAGAAACATCAGAAGGCGAAGAAGCAGAAGGATAAAGGCGACCCGGCTAAGCGTGCGGCCGCGCTCGCGGCGAAGGCGGAACAGTTAAATGTAAAGGACGACGGAGGCGAAGCGGCGCCGTAGGGACAGGGGTGAATGCATAGGTAGCTAGAGAGATACCCTGCAACTTTTGGCAGGCCGTATGCCCCAACGCGAGCCTGGAGCCGCTTACATGCGCATCCCCAGGGCTGGTAGACCTAGATATAAGGGAATAGAAGGAAAGAAGGAAGAAAGAAAGAAACACCATAACCACACGGGGCCAATATCGATGTTGACCTTAGGAGGGACCTACCTAGGTACGCAGGTCAGGGTACCTCTATACTGTCCCGCCAGGGATCGCATCGAGCTCCGCAGGAGGTGGCCATTATCCACGATGGTGATCTCTAGGTGCATAGGTGCCTCCTCGTAAGTCACTGTGTTCAACCTACGTATGCATGGAAACCTTATAAGTACCTAATGCGTAAAGAGGAGACCGCCGGGACTTATGGTAGGTATATGCATACACACACACAAATGAGATACATAGATGCCCGTTTGATCCTCGATCCCGTTAAGGCGCTCTCGGCGGGGTGCCTCGTCTCAAGACGAAATCCGATATTCTCTTAGCGAGGTTTCGTCCCGGGAGCCAATCAGGGCGAAGCACACTTCTACTGAGTGCTAGTGCCCGCGATTGGCCCTATAGAATGCTGGAACCAAGCAAAAAATTAGCGAACCGAGCTACGAAGGCGGCTTCGACATCCCGCTTCGACGTCCTGCCTCGAGCTCGCAACACCCTCCGCCCATCCCCATCCCACCCCGCGGCCATGCTGCGACCCAGATTACGGATCCCGCGGCCGGGTCGGCTATGGCGCCCGGCGCCTGCCTCCCGCTCCTTACACCAGGTCCCGGTCCTCGGGCATATCGACGCGAAGCTGGGGGTTCCTGGGCTGCTATCTCCAGGAGGCTTCGACATGGCCTGGACCCAGTACATGCAATTCGTCTTGGAGAGGTTGAATGCTCTGATCGCCGGTACGTCGACGACATCGCCTCGGCTGGGTGGACCTATCAATCGCAGTGGGGCGTGCCTTGCCACGCTGCCCCTCGCTACCGGCCATGCGCCTGAGGGCGGCCGCGGCGACGCACCGCACACGATTATCGCCACTCGCCAGCTGATCACGGAGTCGGTCGAAGACTAACGGCGGACTTAGGCACCGAACTCGCGTCGCAGGAGACGTTAACCATCATCAAGTCGACCGCCCGCGAGCCTTCAAAAGCCGCCATCTTCAACTATGCCTCTATGGCGCACAACAATGCCATGTTCTTCGAGAACATCGTGGGTCTACAAGTGACGGAGGCTGGGGAGAGTAAGTGGGGAAGTCGGGCGGGATCGGGTTCAGATTGACGCTGACAAGGCCCTGAGGAAGTTCGCGATGTTCCCGATGAGCAGCGGATCCCCCACCGCCTGCTGCGGGAGCTGACGATGCAATTCAGCTCGATCGAGACACTCCGCCAAGAGTTCCTCGTCACGGCGCTGGCCATGTTCGGCCCGGGCTTCGTGTGGCTGGTGAAAAACGGCCAGTCGTCGGACCTACGTATCTTGGTGACCTATCTGGCCGGGACACCGTACACGGCAGCGCACTGGCGTCGCCAGGGAGTCGACATGAACACTCAAGGCACCAACTCTCCAGACACCGTCACGGCCTGGTTAGAGCGCACGAAGACGGGAGCCGGCGCGGACAACGGCGCGAAGTTCGTGACGTCAAGTGAGGTGGCGCCGGGCGGGACGGACGTCATCCCTCTCCTATGCTTGAATACGTGGGAGCACGTGTGGCTGCGTGACTACGGAATCGGGGCCGGCGACCGCGGAGGCAAGAGACAGTACGTCGAAAACTGGTGGCGATGTATCAACTGGGAAAACGTCGAGTCGCTAGCGAATCTTGGGAGGCCGACTTTCAGAACCTGATCGGGGGCGGTCTCGGGTGCCTGGACGACGGGCTGGCGTATGAAGTAGCCCAAAAACCGCACTCGGCGATCTCTCCGAGTAGGTCGCCCTTGTGCCCTCCCAGGTGTACAGAGATCAAAAAAAAAAAAAAACACCGCAACCTGCCATATATGAGAGCAGTGTGCGCTCGGATGGGCCGATGTTTAGGCTGGGATGCCGGACGAACGTACCCATACAAATGAGAGGGCGGAGAGAAGAGAAAGTAAAATTCATCTTAACCCCATCTCTGGGCCATTCTACGGAAATTGAACGAATCATAGTAGAAGACGGGCATGCCGTCGCTGGTTGGCATACGCTGTGTTGCAACTGAGAGACCGTGGCCAAGCATCCACTGCACGGCGCCTTCGTCTTAATTAAAACCGGTTCTAGGTAGGTCACATATTGTTGTTCACTGGGACAAATCACTCTTTTTTCAAAGACTAGCTATTTTATTCATCGGCCTTCCTAGTTCCCTATTTTCTCTTCCCGCGGTTCCCAAACTAATAATTCTACCTGCGAAGGGAGAACTGCTCGCGGCCGACCCCCATAGCACAGACAGACGTCGGTAAACATAAAACACAAAACAGGAAAAGGAGCGTGTGTTGGTATCTCGTGCGCCCATCACCGTTAGCTAAACTCATCAACGAGTCGGAGAACATGAAGTAAAAAGCAAAGGGTAAAAGGCGCTAGAAATAGGTAAGAGTAAGTAGTACTGGTGGTCGTGGTGATATATAAAAATAAAAAAAGAATTCAAGCCATCCTAGTGACTTACGACGGTAATATCTCGACCGAGTCCTAGGTGACCACGGCCCGCCTACCAACGATGTAGCGCGGCTCGTTGAAGCCAGCGATAGAATAAGAAGATTGGGGAATGTCAAAGACATAAAAAAATAAAGGGGAACGTGGAAAGTGGGAAGAAGAAAGAAAAACAAAACCAGAAAGAAAAAAGGTAGTTATCATGCTGCAGACTTGAGTCGCCCCATGTCCAGATATATATATAATATAGGTATAACATGTGCGGTGTATATCGAATCTGTCCCGTTCCAACACCGGATATCCCATCCGTTTCGTTTCCCCTCAGCCGTCATGGTCGCGTGTCGTTAAGAAGTCGCCGCCGCCGCCGCCGGCTCCGGCTCCACCACCGCCCTCTTCTCCCAGCCCATACTAGGAACCGGGGGAGGGCGTATGGAGGAGTAGAGCGGCGGACAGACAGACAGGCAGACAGATAAATAAGTAGGATAAAGTAATAGAAGGAGGCGGCGTTGGCCGCCGAGAGAAGGGAAGAGAAGAGAATAGTAGGTATGTGGAGAAGACGAAGGAAATCATACGAGGGAGGGGTGCTGGGCGAACTAGTAAGTAGGTGAGCAGCAGAGGAGCGTGTCGGAGTATAGAGAGGAGCGTGTGCTATGTATATGTGCAGCGAGCGAGCGGCGCCGCCGGCGGGCAGACCGGCTGATATGGACAGATTATTCTCGGCCTCTCTCGCTTTTCTTTTGTCATTTCATTCTTTTCTTTCCCTACTTCCCTCGCGTTGTTGCCGGAGGAGGAGGGCCTAGATCATGTTGCCATTGACGCTGACCTCGAAGCCCTCGCCCTTCTGGCGCAGGGCCTTGGCCAGCATGAGCTCGCGCATCCAGTCGATGCGCTCGTCGCGGCTGCGCACAGCGAAGTGGTGCGTCTTGCCGGTGCCGTTGGCCGCAGTGGCGAACTCCTCGCCGCCCGCCGCCAGCGCCGCCACCGCGCCCGAGCCGGGACTCTGGCTCTCGCGCTTGCGCAGCCGCGAGCTCTTGCCGGGGTGGTCCTGGGGGATGAGCTGGAAGCTGAAGGCGGCGACGTCGCCGCCACCGGCACCACCACCGCCGCCGCCGCCGCTCTCGCTCGCCGAGTGCCCGTGCTTCGCGCGGCTGATGCTCATGGCCTTGAAGGCGGCGTTGAGCTTCGAGCCCGCGCTCAGCGACGAGCACGCGATCGCGTAGTCGTCGATGTCGATGTACTCGAGCGCGCGCTTGCGCTCGCGCGCCGCGTCGCCGTCCCGGTGCAGCGCCAGCCGCGTGCCCCGCAGCGTCGCATACTGCTCGTGCCACTCGTGCCGCAGCATCCGCGTCTTGCGCTTCTTCACCGGGCCCTGGTACGTCGCGCCGTCGGCGTCCTGGGGGGTCCCCGCCGCCGCGCCCGCGCCGCGGTGCTGGCGCTGAGGTGAGGATGACGACGGCGAGGACGACGACGACGACGACGAGCCGGCCGGCGCCGCGAGCGTGTCCGGCGTCGGCACCGGCGCGAGCGCTCGCTCGAACGCCGCGCGCTGCTGCGGTGACCATGGGTACTGCACGCGCGGAGGCGGCTGCGGGTGGTGGCTGCGGGAGGGGGCGCGGGCGAGGCCCGGCGGCGGCGGCGGCGACCGCGGCGAGATCGAGGCCGGGACGTGCGGCGCCTTGGGCAAGGCGCGGGCGGTCGCGTCCTCCTCGACGGGCGCCATGACCTGGAAAGAAGGGCGGCGCGAGGACCGCGACTGCGAGCGCGCGAGGCCGGCCCCCGCCGCGCGGTACGACATGTCGGGTGGGACGGACTGCGAGGCGTCGCGGGCGACGGGCCCGAGCGGCACCGCCGTCAGCGGCACGTCCATGTCCGAGAAGGGCGTGCCGAAGCGGTACGGCGCGTTGGAGAGGTCCGGCGACAGCGCCTCCGCGCGCTCCATGCGCTGCGGGTAGTGCGAGACGGCCGCCGGCGTCGGGGTTGCGGACGCGGACCGAGGGGGCGGGCTCGGCCGCGCCGGCTGCGAGTACCGCTGCGGCTGCTGGTAGTAGTGCTGGGGGTAGGCCGGCGCCTGCGGCGCGGGCGGCTGCTGCTTGCCGGGGATGGCGAGCTTGGGCAGCGCGCGCAGGCCCTCGTGGGGGGTGCGCGGCGCGGGCGTGGCGGCGGCGGAGGAAGGGGGGGAGAGGATCTCGAAGGGGGGCGTGGGCGGGACCTCGGCGTCGCCGTCGGGCTGCTGGAAGTCGAGGAACTGCCGCACGTTGTCCAGGGGGTCGCGGGTCTGCACGTTGCGCAGCGCGGCCTCCTGAAGGTACTGGAAGGGGGACATGCCGGGGCCGAGCACGTCGGACGAGGCGACGACCGAGGGCACCGCGTCGGACAAGGGTCGCAGCGCCTCGGTCGACGACGGCCGGTTGATCGCCGGCGCCGTCGCCGGGTTGCCCGGGTCCCCGGCGACCATGATGATGCCGCCCTTGTCGACGTCGACGAAAGGGTGGTCGCGCTTGAAGGCCTCGATCATGCGCTGCTGCCGCCGGAACTTGGCGCAGTTCTCGCCCTTGGAGCAGTGGTGCGGCTTCGGCATCATCTGCTCGATGCCGACGATGGAGACGGACTCGAGCGGGGAGATGATATCCTCGTGGGCCGGCTTCCTCCTGCTGTGGGTCCGTTTCACGTTCTTAGACGGGTTGACGCTGCGGCTCCGCTCCGCGCCATCCGCCCCCTCCATCTTCTCATTCTTCTTGCGTTCTCTCCGCACCTCCCGGCTCTCAGAATCTTCGATGGGGGTCTCCAGCCTGGGCGAAGCCACTGCCGCCGCCGCCGCCGCCTTGCTGTCTCGCAGAGCGTGTATCTCCTCCCATACTTTGGTGCGGACGCCGAAGGATTGGATATCGAGCTCCCGCAGGTCCTCGAACTTGAGCGTGATCAGGATGGCCCCGTTGATGTCGTTCTCGACGAACTTGCCAGCTATCTGCATCTCGATGCCGGCGTTAAGCATCCACTGCGCGACCTTCTCCGGTGTCCAGATCGGCAGGTTGCTCGGGTCCAGCTTCTCGTGGGTGAACTGGAAGGGGCTGGTCCGCGAACGCGGAGGCTGAGACAGCACCTGGGGCAGCGGTTCGTGGGCGATGGGGACCCGGAGATCCCCCGCGTACGGCCTTGCCGTCTTAGGAGTTATCGGCGAGAGGCTGAGGATCTCCTGGTACTCGGTAAAGTTTGATGACGTCCCGGAGGCTCGGAATAGGTGAGGGCCCCTGGGTCCCTCTACTGGTTTCGCTGACGTGTAGAAATCGAACGGATACGCCTCGCGAGCTCTGCTCGACCTCGGCGTCTGCGCCTCGTCGTATGACGAGAGAGTAGTTACACTCTGCTGGCCCGACTAGAGAAATACTGTTAGCCATCGACGAAGAAAAAGAAACACCTCGTTGATCCGAAACGAAGGGTCTCTCCGTCTCTCTTTATTCCCTTTTCTTACCGAGTTGAGGCTCACTCGCGGAGAGTCCGGATCTTCATCTTCTATCTCGCTCGTCGCGTCCTCCTCGTCCTCCTCGTCCCAGTCGGTATCCACAAACTCCGTTGCTACCGAGATTGGACGAGCCTCAAAGCCCTTCATACCGAAGAAGGAGTCTTGGAAATATCCCTTCTGGCGCATCTCTCCGTGCGATCGCTCGCGTATTCTGAGCGTTTGTGTATCCTATAATTGAAGGGCGGGGGGCGTCAGCAATTAGCATCCGAAAAACAAGGCGACGGGGTGTCCTAGAGGCGCACAATGACAATAGAGGCTAGCAATATACTTACCATATTGGACAACTATGAAAAGGAAAAGTGCAAAAAGAGGCGCTTTTTGGACATCCGTGCCGTCGTCGGCTTTTGCTCTTTTTTTTCTTCCTCTTCTCTCTCGCCTTCACACCCACACGCACGCACACACACTCTCTCTCCAGTCTAGACCGAGGTGGTATATACGGGATACCGGAAGATGAAAAGGAAATATTGGTCCCGCTTTGGGTAGTCGACAGGTAGGGTTGACGTCGCAAAGGAAGAGAAGAGCAGGACTGAAGCACAGCGCGGGAGCCCGCCGAACGTATATGTACGGGATATACGGTGTAGCGTGGTCCCGGACCGCAAGGAGGGATCAGTGGATACAGGAGGACGTGAAACGCTGTGATCAAGGTGAGGGAGGGCATTGCACGATGTGATTTGTTTTTCGGGACTCGACATAGCAGGGCCCAATACTACCCCCAAGCTCACTCGTCGGCTGCCGAGAACTCGCCAGCCCGGAGTCGTCTCTCTCTCTACCCGTATGGTAGCGCGTCTCCTCTGCCTAATAATAGCAGCAGCATCGTGCGTGCGCAAGTATATACTTACTATGTTAAAGGGCCTAGGATCCCACGAGCACGAGTGCGAGCGCGGGCGTTACACCCCACCAACGGCGTAGAAGTGCCCAGCGTCTACTGCTTTGCACGCAGTGACTACCTAGAGAGACGGAAAGCCGCCGGCTGGTTGGACGAGGTTGGACAGGATGGCGAGGTGTGCCAGGGGACTTGGGAAGCGACCCCGGGTTGTCATTGGTTACGAATTCTCTCTACGACCCGGCATCGTCGTCTAAGCGCCGGGCAGGCTAAGTATGGGTGGACAGGGGGGGCAGGCAACCCATGCCATGCCGACTTGATCACTTCATGATCCCGAATCAGGCATGGCTCTCCGCCTCGAGCGAGCTATTTAGGTAAGTGTGGAATGTATTATTACGAATACATACCTACCTACATGCCCTTTTCACCGTGGACGTGAACAGCAGCCGCTGGGAAGGCGAAGGAAGGGATTTTTAAAAAAGGGTGGCGCGGTGTAATAATGAGTAGTAGCTCGTAGGCCCCAACAACCCGTCTACTGTACATAGTGAACACCAACCGCGGAAAACAGCCTAGAAAGGCACGGCTCAAGTGTGTACCATGCAATATACGGCTGTTGAGATCCCTTATTGCAAACGACACCGTGCAAATTTTCTCATGCATTTCACACATTGCCTCGATCTCTTCTCCGCAAAAGCTGTGCGATGTTGCATAAGTCGCTGTGCCACAGGGGTTTCCCGTACGACGAGATTCCCATACGGCGAGAGAGAGGGGGGGGTGCCTGGGGCTGCCTTGCCGCTGCACCGCTGCATCGGATGCTGGTGTTCACAGCCTACGTGCATACGTGCTGAGGCGGTCAGAAGAGAGAGAGGGAGGGAGAAAGACAGAGAGACAGACAGATACAGAGAGAGGTCCCGCCATCGTTCGTCGTCATTCCCACTACATCGACCCATCCGGCGAGGACATGGTATACACTGGATAGACCTCAATTGATGACGCTCTGGGCCGGGATTTCTTCATGTACGAGGTGACCCGGTCGAATGATGACTCGCAGCATAGGCGTTAATTACCCAGCATTAAGCAATAATATAGCAGGGACATTTGCGCGTAAGTCGAGTCGGTCCACGTCCCAATGCGGAACAGGTGTTATACGGGTATATGTAAGTGTCTAAAAGCGCAAGTAGGTAGGTATGTGTAGTATGTCTCTACGCCCGCTCGGCGTTCTCTCTGCATATGTCAGTGGGAGTGACAGAGACAGACACAGGCAGAGGTGCGATGGTCCACTATCCGACCTGAGCCGGATAGACGGGTGGAGAGAAGAATACAACCCTGGGCCAAGGGTTGGGGGGGGGAGGGATTCCCTTCTTCGGTACCGCACAGTTTTCCCCACCGAACACGCAAAAGAGAGAAGAGGAGAAACTGGTCGTGATCCCACTCTCCCACTCTCTCTCCCACTCACTACTCCCCCCCTCTTCTCTCTACCTACATGCATACGACACACAGCATACGTACATTCAGACAGGGTATCTCGTCGCTACCTACTTAACCCCTCTCCTCGTGGTACGTTACCGTTCAATGGGATTGGCGCCTCCAACCGTGGCGCCTTATTAATCTAGAAGCAAAAAGAGTTGATCCGGAGGAACTTGGGGGGGGGAGGGGGGCCCTTACCGAACGGCGGCATATCGTGAAGCCAATAGCCTAGGCCCGTAGAGCATGCTGAGCATCCCTCGAGCATCCCAGTGGGGTCATTCCTAGAGAGGGAGAGATCCTAGCCTCTAGGCGGGACGACGGCATTCAGCGGAGTCTCGTCGAGATCTTCTTACTTAAAGCGGACCGACTCGCTAGCTTACGGATCTACCCAGGCGCTTCTGACCTCGACGATGCCGTGCGGCGCCCGACCTCGTCGTTTGCTCAAAGGAACAAGTTTTGCGAAAAAATTCTATAGGTCCCCCCTTGCGGCATCGAAGGGTTCCACCTCAGGCTTGATACCCAATAGTGGCAGATCGCGAAGGTCACGCAGACCTTGCAGCGGACGCACGACGGCCGAATATCAGAGGTGTTTTTTTTTCTCCCTCACTCCTGCCTCCTCCTCCTCCTCCTCTCTTCTTCCCAAGTCCGTGAGTGGCTCGGATCCCGCGATGATGGATTTGAGGGGACGGAGGGACGAGATTCTCCATCCAGTGGCTGGGCGCAAGGAAGTTCCTCGCAAGACGTTCGGCCCGGTTGTGACGATGTAAAGCCACGTAAGACCTGGGTAGGTGGACGAGAAAACGCTAATGTTCCATCTGGGCGCGCGTGTGTATTCGTGTTTCTCTTCTCGTCTCCATGCGTGTCTCTCGACTACGCAATTTGGGCAAGGCTCCCGGCCCAGCGGTCAACGGACGACGAATGAGGCAGTTGGCTGGATAAATCTCGACTCGGCGGCCAGCATGTGGCGGGGGTCACACCTATCCTACGCCTCTGCGTCGAGAGGCAACAGTAAGTTCCCGCATACGGTCTGCAGGTGGAGGGTCGTGTCCGTCTGCTCCCCGCGAAGCGATTGTTCCCGCACATCCATAACCACACACACACACACACACACACACACACATACACACATACACACATACACACATACTACATAGCTAGGTAGATGCTACTACCATGTACCAACCTCCCATGCCACCTTAGCCTTGGTGTCAGCACCAACCGGCGGGATACAGCGATGGTTTGATGTTGATAAACCCTCCAATGCAAGATCGCCGACACGCTAGGTTAGGTAGGATGGGTCACCCGAGGAAGCAAACCGAGGCCCCAGGTAGAGGACGATCCTCGTCCAAGGACGGCCAATGCAACGATTGACGAACTCGGTGAATAGATACCTTCCTCGAGCGGACCCGCGTCCATCATCGACGTCCAGGACGTACGTATAGCATCATAGATATGACGAAGCGATAATAGGCGGCGGCAGTAAGTGGTGGCAGTGGTAATAGTAATAGTAATTGCCTGATGCCCTTTGCTTTTTTTGTTCTTTCTTTGGACTACCTACTTCTCTTTTCCTTGTCTCTGGTTGTCCTTCTCTCCTCCCCTGTTTCCCAGATAGGGTACTAGTATGCGAAGTGTGTTCTAGGCAGGTAGTTTACACCTCGCAGTTCACGGCTGTGTTTACCTCGTGTAACCGATATTAAGTATGAGAGATGCCGAGCACGAGCGCTCCCGCTCCTACGTAGTTAGACTTACACGGCTTCCCATCTCGCGGAAGGATTGTGACGGGAACCTCAGCACCCAGCCCACCTTGACCTAGTAGACGAAACCAACAGATGATAACGACGACAAGTAGAGAGGAGATGGAGATTTGAAATTGCGAGTCGCCGTTTCTTGATCTCGGCGAGGCCGTATCACGCACTAGCTGGTGGACCAACGCTCTTCTACCCTGCTCGCCACATACGTTTACGTAGTGACAATTCGGAGTTCTTCGCTACGACCACATGTCTTGTAACATTTCGCAAATCTGAGGGGTAGAGCGTTATCTTCACCTATCACACACATGTTCGTGACCCCCCCAGGAAAGGAAAAAGGGGAGAAGTTGGGAAAAAAAAACCCAGGTCGCCGCAAACTTAAGCGAAGCCGATTCTGGGCCGTCGGGGCCAATGGAACAGCAGGTAAGGGGACTCGGCGCTCATCACATGAGGAATCCTCAATGCGAGTCGCATCACCTGGTGTGGTTGATTCTTTCCTATATCCCGACTAAAATGACTTTTCCTTGGGAACGACGAGGGTTGGCTTGGCCGCGAGAGGCCATCTCGACCTTCTCATTTGCTTTCCTCGTCGAGTCCTTACTTTTGTCGTCGAAGAATCACCCCTCATCCGTCTCCTCTATTTTATCCCTCCACCCCCCCCGGCCCGTGAATAGGCGAATAGGGTCGGACAAGGGAAAGCTTCGCGAATGCAGGTAATCTCGCCCGAGCTAGGGGGGCCTTGATCCCTGGACACACAGGTATAATATGTAGATAGTTAAGACGTCAGCACCGGCACACACACACACACACACACACACGCACGCACGGAAGGAGAGGGAGAATATGAGCGAAGTGAGTGAGAAGTATATCGGTGTGCGCAATCATTGGTAGATCGCGAAGAAAGTAATAACATGACTTGATTCGGCATTAACTCGATCTCCACCGGACGTATCACAGTGGAGAAGGGGAGGGGGGACGCAGGAAGGATGGTGATTTGAGCTTGTGTGCCTAACCCTCCTCTCCATCATCTGTCATCCCATCGTAAGCTGACGACGGATGGCGAGCCGGGACGCAACAGCTTGGCTGCC